AAGAAACTTTTTTAAAGAAGTCTGAGATACAGATTCTGATTTTTACAATTTCTGATTATTCTAAACACTATGTATTTTCAAAAATTTACATTTTTCATTATGTACTTTCGTATTTATTAAAGAACTTTGGGAATCTGACTAGTTTTGTAAACAGGGTGGCTTTTTGCCAAGTTTAGGGTGCATTTGCCCGTTTTCGACTTTTACGCAAAATTCTTCTAATTTTCGCCTGCGTCGCTGAAATTTGAGAAGTCTGGAAATTTAATTAAATCACCGTCATGAGGAGACACTCGTAAATAATTGTCAAGTTTGCCCAATAATATAAATATATCACATTTGTTATACCCATTTCTTGTTTGTTAAGAGTTTATTTCAGAAATGTAGTGTACCGAGGTAAATGTAGTGTACCGAGGTAAAAGTTCGGACATGACATACGTCATTCGATTCGTCTTGACGAGCTGAGTCGAACGGTACCACTCACAATTTCAGGAAATGATTTTAGACCGAGTTATAGGTCCCGAAATATTTAAAAACCATAGGGGGGAGTAAGGTCGATTTTGGTATAATAACTCGGTCCAGAATCATTCCCTGGAATTAGGAGTGGTACCATCGACTCAGCTCGTCGAGACGAATCGAATGACATGCCACTTCCCGAACTTTTACCTAGGTACACTACAGGCGAAAGAAAAAGGGGAAACACAAACTTAACTATTACCCGACGGTGTTTGTTTGGACGGTGTTTTGTCCCGAACAATTTTCTTTTTTACATTCAAAAAAATTTTTATTAATGCTTTTCTCCCCCTCATATGTTCCTTCCCTTCATTTGCCCCTATAACTTTCCCCTAGTTATTGGAGTAGAACAACTAAATGTTGGACACAACCGATTGTAAAAAGCAGTTTGGAATGAGAGAAAATTTATTTTTATGTGATTATTGAGCGATGCGGAGAGTTAGTATATGTGAACACAACACATAAAACAACAAAAATTAAAAATATTTTTTTTCTGTTAGGCTCCCAAAAATCTTTAATTTAGTTCCAGTTTATTAATTTTATAGTGGGACAGTGCCCGATCCGTTGCCTCCTCCCCCTCATTCAGTTTTGTTTACTCCCTAACCCTTCTGGGTCGAAAATGGGTTTGTCGGAATTAAGAATAGATAAGGGACACGCTCAGAACTGCGCGCGGCCACAACGGCGCAAAGCCATAACTTGCTTCAACATTTTTGAACCTTACTAAAATTAATATTAAAAGATTCCTATCATCAGGCTAAAGAGATTGATAACAAAAAATTACAACAGTTAAAAATATTCCAGCAAGTTATTGCTTTGCGCTGTTATGGCCGCGCGCCCTTTTGGGTGTCCTATATTTGAAAGAACTTTTGCTCCCTTTTAGCTACTTCGCGACTAAGTGGCCTGTGACTAAGTGGTCGCGACTAAGTGGCCCGCGACTGTGTCCGTGTCCCTACCCGAAATTCTGTAGTTATACGAAATTTTGCAGAAAATTATCAAGATTTCGTGAGCTGTTTCGAACTTTCGATTTTTATTTAGTTTTTAAAATAATTTTTAGAATTAATAAATGCCTCGCTTTATTAAATCCGAAAGGAGTAAACCCAAACTACAGCATGCGCAGCACGAATATAATTACAGGGAGAAACAAAAAAATATTATTTGTGGCGCTGTGTGCAAAATAAGACCATTGTTGGCTGCAATGGCGCTGTTGGAACGACAAGTACAACAGATGAGGCCACAGAAGTGATAGAAGTTAGGCCCCACATATGCGACGGTCAGTTTTTTAATTAAAATTTTATTCCGTTGCTGTATAGTTTGGTATGTAAAAAATTTAGGTGGCGGAGTTTTGGCTGAATTAATTGATGAGCCTGGAAATTTTGAAGTTGATGCTGTACAACAGCCAAATGAAAGCAATTTCAAATCGTCGATGCCCCCACACCGAGACAACAAAATAATAATAATAAAATAAATTTTCGACCTGAAATTCGACTAGATATATTTAAATGTCTCAATTTCAATCAATTATTAAATATTCAACAAACAAACTCATATTTTAAGAATTTCGTTGATAGATATGAGAAGGAATTGGCACGGAAGAAATTCCTTTTCCTTAAATTCGTATTTTCTGATAATTATTTTAAATAATAAGTTTAATTTTACAGCCTGGTCATAGAGATAGCTTTTTCTATCTTGATACTTTTGAATTATTTGAACCTGAACCCGAAAATTATGACTTTAAATTGAGTGAACAACTTGAGATAAAAGTTAAAAATTAAAATTTTTATTTAAAAATATCAATTTTAGTGGCTATCTGCTATTGAAAATTCAATTCCTATGTTTATAGGTGATAATATTGTATATGCTTTAGCTCACATTGATATATATGCCGAGAAACGTTTGTTTTTTGAGGATTTTATTGGAATATATTACAAAATCCCACAAAATGCCCCAGTGTACAAACCCCCCAAAATGCCGCAGTGTACAAACTTTTTTATTTAGTTCACACTCTGAAGTTATAAAGAATTCCAAAAAATATTGTAGAACTGAAAATTGCCCGTTATTTATTCCAACAACTTTTTAAATGTGTATTTGAATCATTTACTATTCATGATTCAATACCAAATCCAAAAACCGAAGTTGGTCGCTTCCTTATTTTTCAAGCTCTATAATTGCTATTCTCATTCTATAGAAACTACACTGTTCATCGATCAGTTGGACAGTGGATGCTTTAAAATTTTCTTGAATAATTTAATTACGAATGAATTCGATGTTTGGAATTATGTGCGCTATAATGCGGAGCGCTGTATAACTGCTTTATTTGACCTTTTAACTACTGGAAGGAAGCAGTTTAAAAACATCTCCTATTACCAGCTCGATCCTAGACTTTATAATCGTATTATAGAGGTACTGATTTTTTGATAGTATAAAAAATATGGCCCTTTACGCAAATAAGGGTGAATCGTTTTTTCCTTCATTTTTTTCCTTTGGTTAATTTTCAGTGGAAAGGAGAAAATGGAGGAAAAAACGATTCGACCCTTTATTTGCGTATAGGGTCGAAAATATATAGAGAATAAAACAATACAATATAAAATTTTTTTAAATATTTTCTGAATCGGCAAATGTCCAACAGTTCCCTTATCCGCAAATAGAATCCGCTCTATTCTTTCCCTTTCCTGAATCTTTTGTGTTGGATGGAGTACTCGCTTATTTTTCTTTTTTTATTATTATGTCTCATAAGATGAAAGGGAATTTTTATCAGACTTCTTAAGATCTGGGGATGATTTTGGTGTTATCCTATACAGCTAGACGATTTCTATAACCTAAGACTGACTGACCATTTTTTAATAACTTTGAGGAAGGAAAAAAGGGTGGGGTCTCATCCGAATTTATTACCTCTTTATCTAATTTTAAAAATTAATTTTTAAAAGAGTTCAAAATAATTCAAAATAATTTTATTTTAGCATATAGAAACATCAAAAAACTTTTCAAAAATGATTAGAAAAATTAAATTAGATTTGGTTACTGGCCATTTAAATATTAGTGAAAGGGCAGAAAATATTGAAATTAATCTGGACAAAAACAATTTTGAAAATAATTACTTAAAAATTACAAAATATCAAATTTCCAATAAATACAATCCAGAAATGAAGTTTTCCGTTTATATTAAAAAGACGGACAAAGCTACTGTTGAAATTAAGAGAATTAATTGGCTAAATTTTAATTGATTAGGATTCGTATAGAAAATTTTATTAGATTTTTAAAAGATTTTTTTATTAAATTCCGATTAAAATGTTTTTGTTTTTTAAATTAACATATTTGCATTTTAAGCTTGAATTAATATTTTTAATTGACATTACGAATTAATTACAAATTTAATTAATTACGAATAATTGACATTACGAATTTAATTTTACAAATTCTGGTCTATAATATATTACACAAATATTCTTCATAAAATTACAAATTCTGATTTTGAAATGATTTTACAATTCTGGTTCTTTGGGATATTACAAATTCTTATTTTACAATTTATTTTAAAATTTTCTGATTTTTAATATTTTACAAATTCTGATATTTAAAATATAATTTTACAAATTCTGGTCTATATGTACATATTCTTTATAAACATACAAATTCTGATTTTTATTAGGATGTTTTTACAATTTCTGGTTTTTAAACATTTTACAAATTCTGATTTTTGAGATTTTACAAATTCTGATCTACTATAATATATTATACAAATATTCTTTACAAACTTACAAATTCTGATTTTTAAAACTCACTCTTTGCTTAATTCTCTAAATATTTTATACAATTTCTAGTATTATTTTACAAACAAATTGAGAAATATTCTCAAGTGTATATTTCATATTCTCATAAAATAACAATAATATTATTTTATTCATTCTCGTATTTATATATGCCTTTTATCGGATTGGTAATTTTCCACTCATAATTCTAATCCAGTTGTGGGCCTCTTGTCAAGAGTTGTGCTCAAGAGTTGTGTCGATTCAAGTTATTCTCCCAGTCAAACGCTTGCTTTTTTACCTTTTAAAGAGGTAAAAATGGAGGGGGAATGGCAGGGGAATGACCAATTTTGAATTTTCTTGTCGGCTGAAAAACTTGAGAGACTTGACAAACTTGAAATAACTAGTAATACGCCCAGAAATCCTTCTAATCAGACAATTTGTTCTAGTCGATAAAGAACAAAAAATAATTTTTTTATTTATTTTCCACTCAATCCCCTTCAAATAAAACTAATTTTTACTAGACAATAAAAAAACGGAAGTATTGTAATTTTATTTTGATTGTATCTTTCTTAGGTGTCCACCACAAAAACACTTTTTTCCTAGCATTTAAAGAAAATAAAATAATTTTTGGAAAATTATACGGTAATTTCTTGTCTCTCCAAAATTAATAAAAAATACCCAAAAATCCCCTAAAAATAAGAAAAATTTTAAAAATAATTTTTTGAAAATTTTAAAAGCATAATTTCAATGTTTTTGTCGAAATTTGGCCCTTTTTCTCCCTCTAAACAACAAAAACAGACATTTATTAATTTAAATGTTTCCTTAAAACTCTCTAAAATTAATTGGATATTTTTCTTTAATTTATTATTTTTATTATTTATTGATGTGATAATAGCAGAAGAACAACCAGAATTTAATAATCGAGCTAAGAGGCAATATTATGATGAAAATTATTATAGCAGCTATTATGGATGGTTAGTTATAAAGGGGGTCTTTTAAAAATTCTGATTATTCCTTTTACAATAACAAATTCTGATCTGTAAGACTATGTTTTGTGAATTCTGGTTTCAAAGCTTAATTTCACAAATTGTAATTTGTGATAAATTCAGAATTTACATATTCTGATTTCTTTAAATTCTGATTTTGCAGAATCAGATTTACAAATTCTGATTTTCAAAACCTGAATTTTGCTCATTTTAATTTTACAAATTCTGATTTCTGCAAATTCTCATTTTACAAATTCTGATTTCTGCAAATTCTCATTTTACAAATTCTGATTTCTGCAAATTCTCATTTTGCAAATTCTGATTTTAAGTTTATATATTTTTTTAAATTCTGATTTGCAAAATCTGGTTTTACAAACAGAAACCTTAAGCACATAATTATTTTAAAAATAAAATCAGTCCTTCCTCTACTTCAAGGCAAGCAGGACGCATTGTCGGCTGGCTGATCGGATTCTTGTATGTATCCTTAACTTATAAAATTTTCTTATTCATTTTTAAAGTGTTCTCCTTCTCTTTATTTGTGTGCCATGTGTATGCTGTGCCGGGATTTGGTTTTTAGGCTGGTTTGGAGTTCGGCAAACAATGGCAAATAGGCGTGCTAGACGAGATGAAGGTGTTGTATCAGCGACATATCGCTCGCGTTTTCATTAAAATTAAAAATTAAATTTTTGTTTGATAATTTCACTTGGATTGGTATATCATGCTAATAAAAAAATTATTTTAACCAATTTCTTATACCTATTTATTGGTAAAATATTTATTTAAAATAGTATTTTACAATAGACAAATTAAGGCCGTGTGATATCTGCCAGAGATCAAAGGGAAATACATCGACGATATGTGGAAGGAACCCATTCACCTGTAGCAGCAGAACAGGTGTTTAATTTTCCAAATTCAAGCAAGTTATAAAAATATTTTAAATTGTATATAGCATTTTACAATTATATATCCATTCCTGATTTTATCAGATTTGTAATAAAATCATTTGTAAAATTACAATTATAATTCTATACTTTATATTTTCTGATAATTATAAAAACATATATTTCTGGTATATTAAATGTTTTACAAATTCTGGTTTGTAGAAACTTGTAAAAATTCTGATTCTAAACTAGATTTTACAAATTCTGGTTTTTAAAATATAATTTAACAAATTCTGGTTTGCAAAACATGTTTTACAAATTCTGGTTTTAGACTTAGTTTTTACAAATTCTGTTTTGCAAAACATGCTTTACAAATTCTGATTTTTTACAAATACTGTTTTTACAAATTCTGTTTTACAAAACATGTTTTACAATTCTGATTTTAGACTAAGTTTTTACAAATTCTGTTTTGAAAAACATGTTTTACAAATTCTAATTTGCAAAACATGTTTTACAAATTGTGATTTTAGACTTGTTTTTACAAATTCTAGCTTGTAAAACTTGACTTTGCAAATTCTGTTTTATTTTTTTTACAAATTCTGATTATTACAAAATCTGATTTTAGCCTAGTTCGATTTTACAAATTAACTTCATTTTACAAATTCTGTTTTTTTCAACTATAACACTCATTTATTATTAGCGTTATATACACTCATCGGACCGTTATTATGAGAGAAGACCACGTACACCGCCACCTGTTTCTTCAACAGAAGCTGGTCCAATAAGAGAAACGAGGAGGCTTTAATTTTTCATTTCTAATTTAATTTTCATTTATTTTTTTATCGAAAAATTTTTTTCAATTTTCAAAGCAATTTTTTAAAGTTAAAAAAAACCAAAAAAAAAACAAAAAATTATTTTTCAAATCAACGTCCAAATTGCTCATTTAATGGATATGCTTTCACTATTTTTATATCAGTTGATGGTCTTAAAATTTCCATTTTAGGTAAATTAAAAAAAATATTTTTTTCTCCCCACCTATCATTATTTTCTGTATTGACGGCCCCAATTTTTTGAAGAGTCTAAAAATTAATTTTTTATTTTACCGCTTTCAATTTCAAAATCAGACCCTAATCCCAGTAGATAACCGTCCAAAAATTGTATGTTTTCCATCCAAATGTTGTGTCGGTGCCAATGTAATGAAAAATTGTGAGCCGTTAGTGTTCGGTCCAGAATTTGCCATTGAAATCTTTTTGAAAAATTTTTAAAAATTTCAAAAAAATTTTTTTCTCACAATTCCAGCCCCAGTATGTCTCAATTCATCGCTTATTTCATCTTGAAAGTGTCGTCCATAAATTGAAGTTCCACCCCTACCCGTTCCTGTTGGATCGCCTCCTTGGATCATAAAATCGGCAATAACGCGGTGAAATATTGTGTTGTTGTAATAGCCTTTATTTTTAAATAAAATTTAGAGAATTTCTTGGCTTGGATAAAATCTAGGCTTGGAATGATCAGTTAGTTACTGAAAATAGGGGGGTTTGAAAATTGCTTTTTTCTTAACAGAAAATCGAGGGTGACAACTAGCGACTTTGCCCAGTTATTTTTAACAAAAATATAGACTAACTTCGGACCTCACTAAAAAGATATCACGGAGAAGTTACTTGACTAGTAACATTATCAGATACTTCTATTTAAGACGTCTATTTAACTTTTAGTTACAACTTGTTAGAGGAACCGCTTACTTAGTAGCTATTAAAGAGAACCCTCATTCGAAGATAAACTCAGTAATGTATCTTATAATGAAGTTAAATAATTATGAGACTTCACCTTTTCTCGCCAATTCATAAAAATTTTGACACGTTTTTGGTGCATGTTTCCAGTAGAGCTCTATTGACATTGTTCCCATTCTACAAAGAAAAAATTTAAAAAATTTTTATGTAATTTGAAAAATAAAAGTTACGTTGTTTCTAAAACAATTTTTGAAGAATTTGACGACATTTCTAGAATAACTGATTTCAAAAAAAAAATAATTTAGGCTTAAATTTAGAAAATATTTTCTTTTGAAAATAACCAAACAGAGACGAGATGACTTCCAAAAAAATTTTATTTTAATAAATATAAACAAAAATTTTGTATTAAAAACACCGAGGAAAACCCCGCTCAAACTATAAATATATATGTCCACAGAAAATTTTAATTTCAAGCAAATATTAAATCGGGCAAAAATAAAATTAATTTAATTTAGCTCATTTTTCCCCTACATATTTTCTTAAATTTCAGGCAAATTTAAAATTTGCCTGAAATTAAAATTTTGCCGTCGACCCATATAAATATTGTCAAAAATTAAAAAAAATCTTTAAAAAAAACTTCTTCCCCTATTCTCCATCAGAATATTGATAATTATCAGCAACATAATTGAATAATAATCCACAGGGTACACTAGCTTGCAATTTTGTTGCCAACAAGAATGAACCAGACAATTTTCTATGTAAAGAATAAATTTCTTCTGGTGGTGCTGTTAAACGATGTTGAAGCATTAAAGGTACTAGACGATTAACTCGGGAGGTTATATTCTTTAAAAGAAAAATTTTTTCAGAAATTAGAAAGGATTTTTAAGGAACCTGTAAAGCAAAATTATAAGATCCTTTGAAGGTTAAAGTCTCTGCAATAATTGAAATTGAATCACAATGAGCATCTTCCATAATTTTTGTTTCTGAACCGGTTAAAAAACCTATAGCTCGGGACCATTTTAGAATCTAAATATATAAAAATAAAATTTTTTTATTTGAGAGTATTTTGCGTTAACTCTCCCCTTCCTTTAAAAAAATTTTTTTTGGAAAAAAAATTCTGAACCGAAAAACACCCATACATATTAACACAAGCTACCGCAAAGTTATTAACTAAGATCATCACAGATGGATCATGTTATTCAAACACAAACTTGTTTCGAAGATTTTGAAAATCCGAACCGGATAAAACAGACCCATCCAGCCTATACCCAACCAGATCGGATGTCACTAACAGATCCACTTCTAATCCCTTTTTTATCCCCCAAATTACCTCTTCTCTATTATTATTAAAAGCAGCTTTTAAAATCCGCATATATTTATCAATAAATGAACTGCTATAAGCACGTGTTGCACCAAAATCAAGAAGAATTAAACGCGGATTATTATTAATATTGCCAAAAAGAAAATTGGACCAATTTGGATCAGTTTGCATAAATTTCCATCGAAAAACTTCATTTAAGCATAAAGCCATACTTTTTGTTGCTATCCAATCTCTGACCTACGAAAAAACTTTTTTAAATAATTTTTCAAGAAAGTCCGCAAATTTTATCCGCAAATCTTTATCCGCAAAAGCCTTATCAACAGGTTTTATCAGCAAGTTTTGTCTGCAAATTAAATCCGCAAATTTTATCCGCAAGTTTTATGTCCGCAAATTTTTGTCCGAAGATTTTTATCAGCAAATTAAATACGCAAAGTCTTGTCCGCAGATTTGTCTGCAAATTTTATCCGCAATTCAAACGATTTCTAAATTTCTAAATTTTACCTGTTTAGGTTCATCCAAACACTGATTTACTGGTTTGCCTTCAACATATTCCGCTGTTAATACTTGTTTAGTCGAAAGATGTGGAAAAATACCAGGAACTTTAAAATATACAAAAATATAAAATTTAATTTTTAAATGAATTTAACCATAATAATTAGTATCATCAGCCAATAATTTTCGAAATTTAACCATTGCATTAGCTTCTCTTTCATAATCGCATTCTGCCCGTAATTCTCTTCGAACAGCCTAAAATTTAGAAGAATTCAGACCTCATAATATAAATATAAAAAGCCTCAGAAACATTATACACTTGGGACCGGGAAAATCATCGTTAAAAAGAGGCTTACTTTATAACTATGAGGTTTATGTTAAATATCTTATATCAGGTTTATATTAAAATGAGGTTATATTATTTATTATAATGAGATGTATATATTTCAAATAGAGGGTAAAACCCGTAATTTTCCCCTCCCCATTTTCTACCAAAATTAAAAAAAACGTCTCTTAAATAAAGGTGAAGCTTATAATGAGGTCCAACTATATTAAAAATTAATTAATTAAACAAACAGCAGCAAAATTCTCCAAAAACAATCCTTTAGGCAGAACACGACCAAAACTTAATAAAGACAATAAATTATCAAAATCAGCTTCAATTCCATTTGCAATGCCTGGATATTGAACTTTAACGGCAACTTTTGTTCCGTCAAGTGTTATTGCTTCATGGACCTAAATTTTATTTTAAAATAGGTTGAATATTATGAAAATTTTTTTAGAGATTCTGAAAAAAATTTTTGAAAATTTTTTTGAAAATTTTTCGAAAATTTAAAAATTTTTTTAAAGGCTCAAAAATTTTTATAAATTTCTTGAAAAATCTAAAAAAATTTTTCGAATTTTCTCAAAACCTGTCCAATAGAAGCAGCAGCAAATGGTTGAATATTAAAATCTCGAAAAAGTTTAATCCAATTTGGACCCAATTCTCTTTTCATTTGTTGTTCAACTTGCCACGCGGGGATAAAATCTGCACTTTGTCTAACACGCTCAAAAATTTCCAACAAAAAGGGAGGTATTGTTTTATCATCTAAAAATATGGAGAAAAGACTTTTAGTGTTTTTAAATTTTTAGTTCTCATAATGAAATTGTTCTCCTAGTTCAAAAATTCCAAAAAGTTTCACGGCCCCCGTTCCAAACGGGTCTAAAATTTAAACAGCTCATGTCAACCCTCTTGGTTTTAAAAATATTTCTTCGAAAAAAAACTCCTATTCAAGTATAGGAGAGGTAAAAATTTAATCCCAGACGGTCATCGATCCAGCGGCCTACTGGCAGTTATTGCTTGCTAGGAGCCTTCGCTCCCCATGTATAGCTGCACTACCAGCTTTTACACACTTTTCGCTCCCCATACCTACGCCTTGTAGACGTTTAAAAAAAATTCCGCTGGATCTCCCCTCTTACTTGCATTTATAAAAAACCACAAAAATATAAACCTTGAATTGAGATCATTTGTCCAAGTTTAAGAGCAGCACCCCTTACACGACAAAGCATTTGAACTATACGTTCAGCATTTTCTGGTGTAAATAATGGATTTGAAATTGAAGAATTGCTGTTGTTTGGAGTAATTTTTGTTGAATTCCCTCCTCCATCAATTCTTCTACGTAACAATTCTTTAGCTGTTCCAGTTCCTAGACCTATAGCCAATTTTCCAAAATTAAATAAACGGCTAACACGGGTTGTTGGCACTCTTCTTTCACTGCTTTTTGACATTTTATTTGTAGAATCAATGTTTGTTGGATGATAATCCTTTTTAAAAATATTGTAAAAAAATTTTTTAAATTTTTTTAGTTTGAATTGTCTGCGCCCTCTGCGCCTCCTCTCACTCAATCCGCAAATCCACCCAACAGGCGCTCCGAAAATGAATCCATACCGAATGATATGAGACGCCTAACTTAATGATGATATTGTCTGTGCCCTCTGCGCCACCCCTCACTCAATCACAAGTCCACCCAACCGGTGCTCCGAAAATGAATCCAGACCGAATGGTCTGACATGAGCCGCATAACTTAATATGTCTGCGCCCTCTGCGCCTCCCCTCACACAATCCTCAAATCCACCCAAGCTCTAAAAATGAACTCAAGCCGAGTGGTCCAAGCAGCATAACTTAATAGAAGCTTGATGATCTGGGATAGTTCGGGTCAAAAAAAGTTCGGATCGGTCATATACGTTACAGTCCTATACTAATTGGTCTATTCATAATCGCAAACCCCACAAAATTTAGAAAATATAATTTTATTTAAAAATGAATAAGAAAAATATTTACTTTAGGCAATGAAGGAATAGTATCAACAACATCTGTTTCGGTTGAAGAGACTTGAACAAAATTAGAAAATTCAGCACTTGAGGGATTGACAAAACTTTTTCCATCAGAAAAAGTTGGAGAGTTGTCCGTTGGTTTGGAAGGGTAAGTTCTTGTTCCATCGTTGTTTAAAGTAAAGCCTCCTTGACTTAAAAAAATAATTTGATTAGAAATTTTATTTTAGGAAATTTTTTGAAAAAAAATTTTTTGAAAATTCAAATCCTTTAAAAAATTTTTGCCCCAATTTCCAGTCTACTAGTAGGCTTGGAAATCTTCCAAAAAAAAGCAAAAACTCAGAAACAAATATTAAAAAAATTATCGAAGAAAAAAGAAAACTAATCTGGCAAAACTCCACGCAGAGCTAATTGAGCAAACGTTTGAATTCCAACAGCAACAACTTGGGCACGTTCAGCAGTGTCGGATATAACAGATTTTTTATTAGTAGACCTTCCAAAGAAATTCTTTTAAATTTAAAAAAATTAAAAAAGAAACCTCAAATTCTGCCCTTTTTCTTCCTCAATTTTGTAAACATTTCCACCACCCACAATTAATTGAACAATTCTTTGTCTAACAGGTTCGTCCAAATGTCTAAAATTGTAACCAATTTGTGATTGAGCGAGCAAACGTAATAAATGAGCGTGACGTAAAATAATATTTTTTGGAGGGTTTGAAGACATATTTTCTTTTATAAAAAATTTTTTCACTAAAAATTTTGTTAATAATAATTTTAAAAAATATGAGAATGAACAGGAAACATTCTAAAAATTTCCAAAAAAAAATTCAAAAAAAAATTCAAAAAAAAAAATTTTTTTTATTTTCTTGCAAAAATGGAATATACATAGTAATTAATAGTTGAAAAATATTGGTGATACTTTTTGGATTTCCCGTCCTCTTAGTTTGAGTCGTATTGTTAGAGTTTTTCCTTAAAATGTACACAGGGTGGCCCTTTCCAAATCAGAAAAAGGGAGCATGGCTTCTCAAAAATTGAGCAAATGCCTCCCAAATGATGCCAAAAGGGCCCCCTTAAGCTGTACATAATGGTCAGACTTTTTTCATTTGTCAATTTCACTCCATTTCTCTGTGACAAACGAGAAACATTAATAAAATCAAGAAAGTTTTCCTCACAAAATTTTAAAACTCCAAACTAGGGGAGATGGAATATCCAAAAAAAAAATACCGAAAAATACAGATATAATTTATATCTATAAAATCTCAAAAATGTAAAACTTTTGTTTCTTGTAGAACAGATTCCAATGGACAATAAGGGCATCTAAAAATAACAAAAAATAAATTTAAAAAAATTAAAAAAAACTTTAAACGATTATTTCTGCTTTGTTGTGCCAATTTATTCATTGCATCCATACTTATTACGTGTCCACAACAGAGTCTAACAGGTGGATTCTTTAAAAAAATTTTTTATTAAAAAATATTTTTGTATTCATAAAGAAAAAATGGATAAAAGGTTAAATTCAAAAAAATATTTTTCAATGATTAGAAAAAAAAAATTTTTTCGCGGTCGTGATGGGCAGGTAAAGCGTATCTTACTAGTCATCGAAGTCGAACCTGAAGGAAACAAAGCATAGTTCGACTCGATACCAGCTACGCCATGCGACCATTTAACTAATCTCTCACTCACATAAGTAAAAGTGAGCAACTTTTCTCTCTCCACCCCAATCCCCAGCATACGCCCATGGTTTCCAAAAAACGGGTCGAAAACTTCTCAGGTCGAAAAGCCCGAGTTTATGGTATAGGACTAAAAAAATTCCCTTTAAAAATTAAAAAAACTAACCGTTTCTGTGCTCTGCACTTTTAATATTGGACAACAAAAAGAAGAATGAACTTGTTCAGGGATTGGCACATTACAAGGCAATTCATCAGACAATGTTGACGTGCTTCCTGGACGGGCTGAAGAAAGAAATGCACGCATTGTTAAAAGGGAGGGAACAGTTTTTGCACCAGCTGAGAGGCTTAAAATGAAATTTTTTTAATTAAAATATTGTGAAGATATTAAATGGATAATCTCAAAAATTGACACCAGATTGATGGAAAATTATTTAATTTTACGAATCTAAATTATGGTTCAACACCTCGTCCCCGTCCCTGAACACGAATTCCCCGAAACTTCCGTGCCCCGTAAAAACGGTCCTCGTCCAGTAAATTGAATTCTAATTTAAATTTATTGAACAAATTTTTTGACATAATCAAAATTTGGGTAAAAAGAATTTCTTTTGATCAAAAATTTTTTTTAATTTTTTTGTCTCATGTCAAATTTTGACATTTTCAACATCTCGTCCAAAAAAAATAAAATAAAAAATTTAATTTTAAACAAACATTGCAGTCAAGGAACTTCGATAATCAGTTAAGGCTTGTGCCAATTCCTCTTCTAACCCAAACCAACGGCCAGAATGAAATAAATATTCATATGGACCCTTTTGAGGGTATGAAATTACAACAAACATCTACAAAAAAAATAAAAAAAAATTTAATAAAAAAATTTTAAACCAAATGTGACAATTCTTCTTTGTAGTCCTCAAAAGGAAAAGATTGTAGTTCACGTACATATTTTAAAGCTGCCATTTTATCACCTGAAATAATTAATTAGGAATATTTTTTCAAGGCAAAAAATGTTTCCTTTTAAACTGAAAATAAATCGAAAATCTCGGATAATTTAATTTACTCTTGAAAGGAGGAGAGCAACCCAAAAGGTTAACACCCACGAGGTCAACTGACCCAAAAGGTCAACCTCAAATATTTGGGCGGATAAAAATTATTCGAGCGGGTTAGGAAGGATGTCTGACATTGAGAATTAATGCGGATAAAGAAGGATTAGTGCGGATTGATAGAAGGTCATACACTATTAGAAGCCCCCTCACTTTTCCAATGAGACATATTGAAAAATATACACCCAGAACTTATATTAGGGTATTTAACTCCCCCAATTCGATAGAGAACCCATAAACTCCTAGCATTGAGAAATAAGTTGCTTTATAATGCAGAAAGACTAGAGGATTGTTAAGTCACCAATCCGCAATTTTTCGAAAGAAAATTGCGGTCTCACGCCGGTTACAAATTTCATCCCGAGCCGGTCAAAAATCCGTCACGCGATATTTTAACCAATAAATTAAATAAATGTTTGAAATTAAATTTTGTGAATAAAAAAATAAATTCTCCAAAGAATTCTAAAATTTTTAAAATCAGAAAATTACAAACTTGTTTCGAGTAGCCGAATAATATGTTGACATTGTAAACGAAAAAGTAAATCTTTCTTCTCTGGAGCACAGTCTTTAAGCCATTCTATAGCTGGAAGATAGTTAAATTGCTTAAAGGCTAACATAATCTCCCTTAAAGTTTCGGAATTTGAAATGTCTGGCATTGAAAGTGAAGAATCCGATTCCTAAAAAATTTTAAAAATTTCTATCAAAAAATTTTCAAAAAAAGAACCTTTATAAACGTCTCCGCCACATCTGTCCGCCCCAACCCTATTAAATGCTCTAATATCAGACGATTTGCATGTGACAAGTTTTCTGGATCTGTCTCAATTTCTTTTTCACTTTTGAGTAATTTACTGAGGTCAGAATAAAATTTGTTGTCAATTGATTTCTGCGAAAATTGAAATTACTTTAATTAACACATTGGACGTGTCAGCACAAATTAACTTATTTTACTAGCCCATCCACTTTAAAATCTCAATCTCCAATAAGATTGACATGGAATTGATAGGGCAATCCAGGAGAATTGGGGTTTCTTCGAAAAAAAAAGTTTAAAAATAAGAAAAAGGGTTTTTCTAGGGTAAAAAAATATGCTGATTACGAATCTGAACTCGGATTTTGAAAAAGTCGAATCCCGAACCCGAACCGAATTTCGGACCTTGAACCCGGATTTCGAATAAGCAAATGATAGCTCGTTCGAAAGAGCTCGTCGGGCTGCATCGAATGACAACAAAATCAACGCGATCGGACCTGTTTCGACAAAGTTATTACATAAAGTATACCTATGGTAGTACTGTAGGAGTCGGCGACTTATGTCATAACTTTGTCAAAACTTGATGAATCACTGTAATTTTGGTGTCATTCGACTCAGCTCGACGAGCTCTTTCGAATGAGGCATCATATGTATAAACTTTTTTTACTCCAAAAAATCACCCCTATGATTTTTTAATATTCCGGCGTCTGTATCTCGGTCCAGCCACGTCGGATTTCATCGATTTTGGTGTCATTCGATGCATCTCGATGAGTTCTACCAGCATATGAAAGACTGATTATTTTGTACAATGTCCAACAATGTCCGGAGTCAAATTCCGAATTCGGGTTCGGGATTCGACTTTTTCAAAATCCGAGTTCAGATTCGTAATTAGCGTATTTTTTACCCTAGAAAAACCCTTTTTCTTATTTTTTAACTTCTTATTCGAAGAAACCCCAATTCTCCTGGATTGCCATTGATAGTACTTATAATTAGAGAGCGGAATTTTGAAAAAGCTGAAATCGGGAACGGGGAATGAAAATTAACCGGCCGGGACCAGACCAAGAATTCCCGATCCCGGTTTCATCCCGGCATCTTCAAAAAAGCCCGGAAAAGGACCAGGTCCTGATCCCGTTCAGTTCTCTACTTACAACTAGATGGACTAGCAAAGAATCTCATTTGCCCAGACTCAACCTTTTTCCAGGAACTAGTCAGGATCCTGTCCAATTCACAATCAGACTGATTCAAAAATCAATCCAGGCAAATACCCTCTAAAACCCCATTCACCAGTCGACCTCCTACTTTTTCAAATTCTAACCAAAAATAAAATAAACAAAAAAACAACTTACCCCACAACGAGAAATTAAATGATGAATAGGATGTTTATGTTCTTGAGCCATTTCCCCCAAAATCTTTTTTAAATTATTCAACGCCTCTAAAAGTATGTATTGGGCATGCACCTAAAAATTCATTAAAAATAAAAAAACCTCTTCAAAAAAATTTTTTTTACAGAAAGCTCGGGTTCTCCACAATTTTCTTCTTGTTGTTCCCCAGACTCGTTAGATTTGCTCTCACTCAATTCAACAATTTCTGCAGAATCCAAAGATTTGTTTATTTGCTCTGTTGGTTCAATAATTAATTCTGTACACATTGCATCCAATTTTGTTGAATTTTTTGTTAATAGAGGAATAAATTTTGAAGTGAAACTTTGGGTTCTTTGAATTGCTTTGTTTGTATTGTCGCCAATTATGTCAATTTCAGCTCTAGATTGGACTGGAAAATTTTTTTCTGTAGACATGATTTCCTTAAAATTCAACTGAAATTGAAGGGAAATGATAAGAAATGTTCTAGGGATAAGCAGGGGATTTCCTACGGTTTTTCCACGAGATCTCCAGTAATAAATACAAGAATGCGGAAAAATCGCATTCCCGGGATCCCGTACCGAAATTTTTTTTTCAAAATTTTTACGAGACAGAATCCCGCGGGATTAACCCCGCTAATCCCGTTCAACGCGCTAAACACGGGATTTGGACGGATTTCGGGATTTCGGAACACGGATTTCGGGACGGGATCCCGCAAATCCCGTGCGCAAATCCCGTGCGGGATCCCGTCCCGTGTCGACTGAAATAACTACACTCATTTTTGGCACTCAACAGTCCTATTCATTTCAGAACGGGACTGTTTAACGCAGACAGTTTATCGTGTGATAAGCTTGGGGACATTTGAGTATGATTTATCTTCACAAATTTTGTCCAAGGATTTTATTCAGGGCTCCGATTCGTACTTTTTTAAAAGTATTGTACTTTTTTATCGACCTTCGTACTTCCGAAATTGAATTTGTACTTTTTTGAAAGTATGTACTTTTTTATCAACATTTTTGAAAAAACGAAGAAATCTGGCTTAAGGACCTCCAAAATTCTCAAAATTTTCGCCTGGGCGCAAAAAATGGAAGAAATCTGGCTTAAGGACCTCCAAAATTCTCAAAATTTTCGCCTGCGGCGCAAAAAATGGAAGAAATCTGGCTTAAGGACCTCCAAAATTCTCAAAATTTTCGCCTGCGGCGCTGAAAAAGAAGAAATCTGGCTTCTTAGGCTCCAAATTTCAAAAAATTTTCGCCTGCGGCGCTTCTCAATGGCAAACATTCAATGGACGAAGGAAAGAAACTCGCTTGAGGTTAAGACTGTCAGAGCTTTGCTTCATGTGACAGCAAATTTTGACATGTCATGCAATGAAATGCACAAAATGCTCAGTTGAAACAAGAAATTATTAGAAAAGATTAATTTAGGAGAGAAATATAAAAGATTGATCACGAATAAATATTTTCAAATTTAATTTTGAGTGTACTTTTTATTTGCAAATTTTCTCCCTATGTACTTTTTTTACAAGATTTTGATACTTTTGAGTGGCATTTTGTCGATCGGAGCCCTGATTTTATTAAGCCCTGAGTGGCCGTGAAAAGCTTATTTTGTATCTGATTAATCATTCATTGCCTAAACTTCCCTTAATTTTTAACCTTTCAGATTTATTATTTCTCTTTAAAGCCTAAATTATGTCTGAACAATTTTCACATTTGAGCAGCGAAGAACTTCGTCAGGAACTTGTCAAAAACGGTTTCTCCTTTTAATTTTCTTGATTTTATTTAAATTAAGGTATTCCATGTGGTCCAATTGGAACAACAACTCGCAAAGTTTATGAGAAGAGACTGGAGAAAAAATTGGCGGACGACAGGAAAAATCAAGTTAATACTAGTCGATCATCGAATCGCGAGGTTTGTTTCATTTTTAAGTTTTTTCAATCTTTTTTGGTATAGAATGTAGGAAGTTCTTCGGCAAGTTTGCGAAGTGTTCCACGGAGAAGGAGTTTTGAGGCGCCGGGTCGTGAGGTTTGTCAATTCTGTTTAGGGTTGGGGGCCTCGAGTCTGGCCGACGTTCGAGTCATTCTTTTCGGGCCGGCCCGACCGAGTCTTTTTCGGGCCAAAATTTGATGCCCGACTCAATCTTTTGGACCGGACCGGGCTCCCAACCCTACTTCAAATATTTGATTTTAGCGGTAATCCTGCAGAATCTGGGAGACACCTTAAAAACGCCTTAAATTATCTTTTGGGTTCATAAAAATAATTTTTTATAGGTAATCGACCATGCTGAGTCCGAATCTGAGCTTAGAATTTCTTTATTTCGAACCCCGGACCCGAATTCGACCAAGTCGAATTCGGGGTAAAAATTCGACAATGAAGATTTAGAGCTAATCTGACACGCCTATTCGAGCTGAGTCGAATGGCTAAGTCGAAAAGTATCAAAATTATTCAGTTTCGACCATTTTAAACGAAGTTATTGTCAAATAAATACACGTTGGTATACACTTCTTTGTAGAAAATCGGCATCATAACTTCGTTAAAAATGGTCTAAACTGAAAAATTTTGATATCATTCGACTCAGAATAAAGAGACGAGTCAAAATGACCATAATACCGTAATTTCGAATTACTACTCCGAATTCGACTTTGTCGAATTCGGAGTCTGGGGTTCGAAATCGGCAAATTCTAAGCTTAGATTCGTGATCAGCATGGTCGATTACCTATATAAAATTATTTTCAGAAAAAAATAATAATTTTAAAGTTGTTTTTAAGGTGTCTCCCAGATTCTGCAGGATTACCATTTTGGCGACTGTCTAGGCTGATTGGTTTTTTTTCAACTGACATTTTTTGCGGACTTCTTTAATTTTTTGGTGTCTTCTTAATTCACATAGATATTGAAATGAAGAATTTTTTGACTTCTTTTTGAATTTTTATTTGAAAGATTACATCATTTTTTGCATTTCCTGATATGCTTACTATTGATTTAGACAAGGAATCAATTTAACAACGCCTTCTACTCATTAAAGTCCGCAAAAAATGTCCTTAGAAAAGGCCAGTCAGTCCACACAGTTGCCATATTTTCCTACTTTTTTTAAATTCTTTTTTCGATTCAGAATGTCTTTAATTCTTCGATATCCGCGCGTCATGTTTCTCAGCAAAGTTTTGTAGCGCCGAATCGCGAGGTTTGCCACTTTCAGATTTTGCTCTATTTCTTTTTTCAGCATAGCTTCAGTTCCTCAATTTCTTCGCAAAACGTTTCTCGAAGAAGCTTTGAGGGGGGTCGTTTCTTAGATGATGAAGAGGATGATCATATGGAGTCTTCACGCATTGTTTCACCGCAAAGACGATTTACTGGAGGCAGGAATGTTGGCAATAAAAAAATTTCGCCAATCGAGAAATTCAAGACTGCTTGGAGTTATTTTTCTCGTTCTATTGGGACTTCTACGCCGTGTAGTGATGTACGTATAATTTTATTTGGTTGGGGCTTATTAAGTTATTTTTTAAAGATGTTTGAAAAATTAGGGTAATAGTGTTGTTTAATTGCCCCTTTTTTCCGCCCCTATCTCTCGTCTAGCTAATCCAAACTTTTCCCCGAGAAACGAGAGATCAATAGAGATACTGGGAGTCAAGAAAAATCAAAAGAAATTTTTTTAGAAATAATGGGATGACAAGAGGACCCTAAAATGAAACTATTACCAAAGGATTAGGGTTATTGGTTCCACCAAATTCTTCGATTAACCGAAGCCAGACCGAGCATCTTTAATTTTTATGTTCGTTTCTGATTCTGACAGCCCTATTAAAAATAATTTTCACCCAGAACAGATTATAGCATTTTTGCAGTCAGAAAATATTTTTAAATAATTTTTTAATTTAGTACAATTATCACAATAAATATCCAACAAACAAATATCGACGTTCTGATAATTATGCGAATTTTTCTGATGTCGGCACCAAACCTTCATTTAATTTCTCAACTATTTCGGACCATTCAAGATGGATTGTTTTGGCAGCGATTGGTGTCTTTGTAACAATCTTTTCAACTTATATTTATAAAGTTCATACAGAAACTTTACATTCAACTTTTGTTTCTGTTAAAGGTTTTTTTTTTTGGTTAGAAAATTTTTAAAATTATTTTTTCAGATTTTTTCGTTTTCGCATTTGGTTATGCTTTTTTCCCTATTATGTATTTATGTGGTGGTGAGTTTTTTTCAAACTTTTTTTTTTGTAAATTTTTATTTTATATTTTGGGGTTAAAATTTTCTTTTATTAAAAAGAATGAGTCAAGGTCATATCCTTGTTTTTTTCAAAGCCACCCAGATATCAGAACCGGACATTTTTTGAGCTGCCCAGAATTTTTCTAGATTACTACAAACTAAAAATAGGATCCTTGTCATTGGTTAAAAAATTAGTTAGTACTAGGATTGGCGTCTCCTGTGAGATCTGAAAAATGTGGATCTGTGGGATCTGAAAAATTATTTGGCATCAAAATTGACGGTTAAGTGATCAGAGGATTTCCCAGTAGCCACCAACGCTAGTCCATATCCCGATTTTTAAAAGTCACCGTCTCTGTATTTTTTTCTTATTTTATATTTCTTAAACATTTTAAGCCGTTCTTCTCTTCCTTTTCATTTACAAAGTGTTTTACTGGCGAAAAAATCGAAAAATCCAACATCAGGAAGCAATTATTCGACTTGTTGAAAGAATTACAGATCTTATTTATGATTCTGGATATGCTGGAATAGCAGAACCACATGTGCGTGATATGTTGATGCCTCCGACAAAGTTTTAATTTTTTTCTAAATTCAAAAAAATTTTTATTTAAAGACGATCAAATGAAGATTATGCCCTTTGGTTAGAAGCTGCTCGATTTATTAATAATGAAGATTCTCGTGTTAGAACAGAAATTCGTTTAATTAATGGGACAGAGTGTAATGTTTGGATTTGGATTGGTGCTGGAAAACAACGTTGGCAGGGAACTGGTCGGTAATTTTTTTAATTAAATGACAATTATTACTTTTTTAAATCGTCTCGGACCAAAATTAATCTCGTTTGACCATTTTATAACAAAAAAAATATTTTCCTGCATACCTATTAACATATAAGTTTTGATGTTTTTTTGGCACGCGGATATATCGGGACGGACATATCGGGATATTTCAATGTAAGAGCAGTTACCCTACTGATTTCGGGATCTACGGCCAATAGGTCTTGGATAGTATATTGTCGGAATGGAGTTTTTATGTTTTAGAACAAAAGTAAACACGCAAGGAATTATTTTTGTCACCCTAATCCCGATATGTTTGTCCCGATATATCCGCAGGACGTTTTTTTTAACTTTTTGTAGTCAGATTTAAGTAGTTTTTTCAACATACTATTTATTTTTAAAAAATCCCTTTTAAAATTTTTAAAAATCAAGAGAGAAATATAAAGTCAAAAATGCTGAAAATGCCTCAAAAATGTCCCAGGTTCCCCAAAATTTTTTTATCTGACTACACCAAAAAATTCGGACCAATTTTATACAATTTTTCCTCGTATCAATAATTTAATTTACTCAAAATTTGATTTGAATTGTTCCTTTTTTTTGACAAAATATTTTTTTAAATTTACATTTTTTCGATAAAAATTGGTGAAATATTTTTAAATCTAAAAATCGTTACGATTTGATTAAATGATTACCTATTAATTATTATTTGTTTAATCGTTAATGGGATTTTTTAAAGAAATTAATGCTGAGAACTCTTCCTGTTCAAAAATTTTTGACTTTATATTTTTTTACATAATGACTAGGAATTGGTCGGTAAGCGATGTGATATCAGGGGTATCACAGGTTTAGAAAAAAATTCGGGACGGGTTTTGGACCGGGATTTCGAAATTTCTTTGGTCGTGTTTCGAATTTGGATCGAAAAAAGATTGCGTGACGTCCCTGCTATCTACCTCCTCAGCCTTATAAATTTCTACTTTGTTTTCAGCTGTCGCAGAAGGTTCTCCATCTTCTCGAGTGCCAGAAGCTGCTTTGAGTCGTTGTTTAAAGCTGAGGGGTTTAAACTTTTCTGACAAGTTTTCTTTAAAAATTTTTTTAATTTTTTTCTGTTTAAAATTATAGTAGAACAGACCGTGAATGTTTGCGAAAAGAATTGATGGAAAAAATGTCTGTTGTGCCAAAACATATTGATTTTTGTAACAATGCTATAAGCCGTGAAAGTGTTGTTTATTTAATGCTTAAGGTTTATTTTTTTTTATAGTTTTATTAAAAGAGTGCTTTCCTTCTATTTTTGGTTGATTTGTTTGGTCACTACATTTTTATTATTTTTATTTCCAGAAGGGAATGCTTCTTGTTTTTCACCTTCTGACTTCTCTGAATTCGATTCCTTTTAAAATCTCCATTTCCTTTAATTCCTTCCAAAACCTTACGTCCTTCATTGAACTTCGTTTTTTTCTGTCTTCCGATTTCCTTTCAATTTTATTCATTTTCATTCCTCCTTTAGGAATGAATCTTCCGTCTTTTAAAATTAAAAAAATTTTCTTCCTGTTTAAAGAAATAATTTTTTCGAGTTCCTTGTTTCCCAAATTTTTTTAAAGAATTTTTTTAATTTTAATTTCATCTTTTAAAAATTTAATGAGAAATTGGTTTTCAATTTTTACATAATAAAATTATATTTTTTAATTTACCAGGATCTGAATGATGCAAAAAAGGCTTTCTCATCGCTTCATTCGCAATGGTTTGATGGTTGGTTTTATTTATCTTATTTTTAAATTAAAATTTATTAAATTTTCAGGAAATATAATTACGGTGAAATATATTAAAGATGAACGTTATGTTGAAAGATTTCCTGAATTGAAATGATTTGAAAAGGAAATTTTTTTCAGGTTTCAACATTTATTTAATATAATGAATTATATTTTATTTGATTTGGTGTTGCGACAATTTAGGATACGAAAAGTTGTGTATTTGCGGTCAAACAAATTTTTTCTGTGGCTTTGGTCTTTTTTGTGGATAGGGTTGCCGTTTTCGAGTTCATTTTTATCGAGTCGAGTCTATACAAGTCACTTTCGGGCCTAGCTTTATCGAGTTGTCCGTTCGAGTCTTTTTCGGGCCAAATTTACTTTACCCGATCTTTCGCTCCGAATTGGTCCATTTTGGCAACCCTATTTATGAATTCAATGAATTATAATTTTTTTCTTAGTTGGAGTTCCTTTCCCTATATTGTTCACGAATTTAATTTAACACAAGGATTCTTAACTTTGGTTCACTGAATTGCTTAGGCAGACTTTTAGTCGTCCTCAAAAATTTTTGGGGTCAATTTTTTGCCATCCGTATCTTGTGTATCCATGATTGTCGTACAACCGGTTTATTTTAGTATATAATTCCCCCAACAAATTACAAAATTTTTGATATCTCTTTTAATTTTCAATATATAATGCTTTTCTTTTAAATTTTGATTTATATCGGTTATATTTAAATGTTGAATAAATAAAGAAAAATATTTTTAAAGAATTTTTTATTTGATTATTTTTTTATTGAATATTTATAAATTTTTTTGTTTAAAAAATAAATTTAAAACTTTTTTCCAAAGGACTATTAATTATAAATTAAAGAATGGACAAACCTAGAATATTAAAAAATCTGCAACCATTGAAAATACATTATCCAGAAATTTATAATAGATGTAATAATTTGGTAGAGAGAATTGGAGAGGTTTGTTTCTTTTTTAATGAATTTTTCTGTCAGGATTGGGAGACCACCTGGTTGTTTTTCTTGGAGTTTTCCTTTTTATCATTTCGACTGATAGAAATTAGTGGGAAAGGCCGTAAAAATCGGCAGAAATTTTTATTCAAAGTACAATAGATTTTTCTTCTAATATTTTTTAAGTAGGTGGTTTTTAAAAAGTAGGGATGGTGGTTTTTAAAAAGAGGAAACCTTCACTCTCTGGGTTTCTTAATTATGAGGGTCACTATAGATTGTTAGTCTAGATGGGTTGCCCTTCCGAATTATGTTAGTTCAGTTTTTCGAGCTTGCGACAAGCTCATGTATTGATCTTGGCATTTTCTTCGGACATACATAACGACACTTAAAATTTTTTTTTACTTTTTTAGCGACCCAGTGAAGTTTTTGATTCAATAAATAGCTCAGATGCGTCCGAAAAACTAGCAGGAATCTATTTAATTTTATGTTTGGCTGATGCTAGTTTTGATGAGGAAACAACAAAAATTACAAATTTTGCTAGAAATTTGCTTCGTATGTTAACAATGAATTCACAAGAGTCAGTTATTCGATTGGCGTCAAAAGCTGTTGCTTATTTAATTTTGGTTAGGATTTTTTGAATTTATTAGCAAAAAAATTTTTTTGTCGAAATTTTATCGTCTTAAAAAATTATTTTTTCTTCTAAATAATTTTTGCCACTTTCGTGCCTGAAATCCTTTTCTTCCTATTCACGATTTATTAAATGGTTGGGCCAGAGTGTTTTTTAACCGGTAACAATTTTTCAGCTTGTTAGATTCATGGATTTCCTTTTCGAGTTATTTTTGCCAATATCAGTTACTACCATCTTCAAAACCTGACTTTAATCTCAAATTTTTTACTGACTTACTGACATATTTTCTTCAATTTACATCTTCGGGCTTCTTAATAAATTTTCACAGGGTCCATTAATTTTAAAAATAGGAAAAAATTTGTATAGCCAACCAGACGTGTCTAGTCATGAAAAATTTTTAGAGAGGGTACATTTTTGGAATTATTGAACGTACAAGCCCTTTTGGCTACAAGGCTATCCCTAATTAATAATTTTTATAGAAAAATTAATTTTTATTTTATTCAGACTTCAAAATCCTATGCTGTAGAATTAATGGAAGTAGCATTAAATCAATGTTTTGAATGGTTAGAAGAACAACAACGAAGTGAACAGCGTCGACTTGCAGCTGTTATTCTTGCCAAAGATTTGGCTATTTTTACACAATCACATTTTTTTCAACGTGCCAATCAATTTTTTGCAAATATTTTTAAATGTATTAGAGATTCAAAACCAAATTTGAGGTTGGCAGCAGCTGAAGCATTGAGGGCTGGTTTAGCAGTTACTTCACAAAGAGAGACTAAACATAAAAATGAATGGTTAATTTTTTAATTTTTAATTAAATATTAAGTCGGGCCTCATTATAAAATAACTTCAATGATAGACTCACTGTTTGGAATTTCGATGGTTTTAGGGGTTTTAGGACTTTTTGGAGATGTCTACAATTTGACATTTTGACGGCCTTTGCAGTTTTGCCTTTCAGAGGGTTTTCGGGCTTTTGGGCGTCATGACCACAGTTTGGCATTTTGTCAGCTTCTAGGAGTGTTGGGCTTTTTGGCGTCTTTGTGATTGACCTTTCGTCATTTTAACTGCTTTTTGGTGTTGGGCGTTTTAGCGGGTTATCATTATGGCACACTCCGATTTTGTTACCCTTCATTATAAGTTACGTTTTTTTAGTCCCATGGGTACGTATTTTCAGATCTAAAAATGAGGTCTATAATTCTATTCATTCTTCTAAAAAATTTTTAAACTTAAAAAAGGTACAATAAATGTATCAAAGAAGCATGCCAATTTGATTTCCCTACAATTTCTCGTGATGATATTTTACATGGTTCTTTACTTATATTCAACGAATTACTTCGAATAGCCAATTATTCACATGAAAATGCTCGTCTACAACTTGTTGGAATTACTCAACATTTTAATAAATCACGTTCTTCAATTATTGGACAAAGCCCTATTGAATGGCTTTTAGAACCTATTCAACCACCAACTGTAGAATCGAGAACTGCGAGGACTTTAATTACTGATTATTTTCAAGAGGTTTGTTATATTTTTTATTTGTTTGTGAGCTGTTTTAAAGCACCAAAAAATAGTTCAAAAATCGAAAAATATTAAAACGAAACTTTGAAATCCCCAATTTGGTATTTAACGGCTTATCAAAGCAGCTTGTTAATGGTCACATTTATGAAATTATAACCCATCTTTTATTTGTTTATGCTTATTTGATTGATTTTTAAGCAGAGTGATCCTTTTGCCTTTTTGGGGTATTGGTACATATTTGTGCCTGTTATTACCGTTTTTGCCCAATTTTTACCCTTTTTTTGAGAAGCCATGCCCTTTTTGTGTATCTATTTTGAATATATTCTATTAAATTTTGGCATCATTTGGGCGGATTCAACATGCTTTCCTCCAACCCTTTTTGATAATTCATTGATATATTTTTTTATTTTTTAATAGATTGTCAAGAATTGCTTTGAGGCTCGCAACAGTAAAACCCCTTATTGTAAACTTATTCTTTTGGAACTTTTTCCAAGATTGGCCAGTTTTTCTGATAATAATGGACAACAATTGTTTTGTTACGTTCCTGAAGCAGCAGAACATTCTTTGGCTTTGGTAGGAAAATATCCTGAAGCTATGCTTACTTTGGGATTGTTAGCCCTTAGCAGGCCATTAGAAATCAGATCGAAAATTGCTCCTATTCTCAATATATTAATTCAACATATGCATTTGGCCGTTTCTAAGTTTGTGGTTTTTTTAATTATTTAAATTATAAGACTGTTTTTTTATGAAACGCCTGGCAAGGGCGTAGCTTGGAGGTTGATTTCAGGGGGCTGAAATGGTGTGTGTGAAGAATGGGCCGCCTAAAATTTTTTGACTAACCCAATTGGGGGGGGGTTATAACCCCAGAAGCTCTCTGGAAACGCCCTTGGCGTCTGGGTAGAATGAGCGACTTATTACGGATTTTTTTTGCGGATTCTGTTTTGTGGAATTTATTTTTCTGATTTTGTAGACATAAATAAGTATATTGAAATGATTGTTAACTTATTTCTTTTTTTATTCTGGGCTTGATTTTTTTACAAAATTATTTTAAAAATCACTTTTATGTATTTACAATTCCCCTTGAAAAATTAATTTTTATAAAAAAATTTTTTTAAGAAAAAAATTGGTTCATGACAATGACTTTAAATGTCTATCGTTGGTTGTACGCTCTCAACTCTCTTACCTTTGTGAAAAAATTCGTGAATTGCTTCCACTTTTCTTCTCTACCGGAATATCTGAAGGCTTGATAACTGTAAAATTTTAACGAATTTTTTTTTAATTTTCTCTTTGTTAAAGGTTATGCACGACATTATTAATGCAATCCCTGAATTAAAAGCTGATGTTTTCGACGGTTTAATGGATCAACTTTACCACTTGCTTATGGTATTTTTTTGAGACTTAAAATTTATTTTAGACGCTTTCCTTTCCGAAGATTTGAAGGTTTCTAGTAGTGTTGCTCACGGTCGGTTAACCGAACCGAAACCGAAAACCGGGTGTCGAAAACCGGCAATAACCGAAAACCGAGGGTACCGGTTAATAACCGGTAGTGAGCAACCTAGTTTCTAGAAAATCCGCAAGTTTTGTCCCAAGGCATAATATTTTTTTGTCAAAAAAGGATAATGACCATCAATGTCATTTATTTTACACTTACATTAGGAATATTAGAAAAGTAATCTTTTTTTTGATAGATTAAATAATGTATGACTTGCGGATAAAATTTGCGGATTTTTTTTTTCAAAACTTGCGGATAATGAAAATTTTTAGATTTTTTATTTTTTTTAATTAAAGCCATTTTTCTGAAATTCCTCTAAATAAAAAAAATAAATAAATATTTTTGTAGGACAGACCAAGACCTAGTAAATTAGCACCTCCTACAGCTCCACCAATTCCTGCTGGACCTATTCAACCCGTCAATATTCCACAAACAAAATTGGCATTAAAAACACTTGGAGAATTTAATTTTTCACGTCATTCACTTCAAATGTTTTTGCGTTATGTGGCTATGGTTTTAAAAAAAAATTTTTTTGAAAATTTCCAAAAAAAATTTTTTTCAAGGGTTATTTAATTAGTGATTCTGTAGAAATTCGTTTAACAGCAGTTTATAGTTGTACAGAAATGTTAAAACCTTTTATCATGGTTTATGAAAATGTTGAAAATCAACAAAAAGCTGAAGTTTACAATTTAATTAGAAATGTTTTGGAATGTCTTGTTAAAACTGCTATTGTTGATACTGGTAAGGTTTTTGGTTTTGCACTCTATTAGACATCGAAACTTTTGAACAATATTTGTGGGCGGACAAAATTTTCGGACAACTGAAGCGTTTTTTTTTGTTGTTGGTCTCACGCTACATATTGGACGTTAAAACGGTACTTTATTAATATCCCGCCCCCCACCCCTATTTGAGTCTCAGATTAATTTTACTTTTTATTTTTCCTGCCTCGGAATGGTCAATTTTCCTTCCTATATGCTTTCTTTGCGGTTGCCGTCTATTTTTCCTTCCTAGTACTTGTCTTTTACCTGCAATGTTTGAAGGAAAAATGATTGACAGTAAAAGAAGGGAAATTAATCTGAGACTCAAATAGGGGTGGGGGGCGGGATATTAATAAAGGACCGTTAAAACTTTTTTACGATATTTGTGGAAAAACAAAAGCTGATTGAAATTAAGACCGTTTACTTGTACCTTTGTTTGACTTTTTTCAAAAAAAAATTCTTGAGAACCTTTAGGACATCATTGGCAAACCTAAAAAAAACCGCCGGTATACCAACTATACCTATATTTAATAGGTATGTTAGTTATTTTTTATATTTTGGTATTTCAGCGGCTTTTGGGGTTTGCATTTAGGCATTTGGTCTCATCATTTACCTTCCTTGTTTAATAAATGGATGATCCACTTTACTAACAAATTTTCTATTTCTTCTTTTTTTTTTCAGATTTTAATGTTCGTCTAAGTGTACTCGATTGTTTTTGTAATATGGATCAAAATTTTCTTTTTCATCTTTCACAACGTGAAATGCTTGATACAATATTTTTGGCATTACATGATGAAAATTATCAAGTTAGAGAACAAGCTGTTGAATTACTTGGAAAACTTTCGGATTTAAACCCTTCTTTTGTTTTTTTAAAATTTCGAAGAATTTTACTTGAAAGTATTTCACAATTGGCAAATTCTAAAACTTTAAATAATGAGGTACAAGGGGCAAGAATGATTGAACATCTAGCTAGACAGGTTTATATTTTATATGTAGTAATTTTTTATAGGAAAATTTAATTTTGCTGGGCAACACTTGCGGACGCACATTTGCGGACATCCATTAACAAGCTTCCTATTTTCTGTGATTATTGAAGTTGTGTTTAGTGTACTATACCACCAAAAGGGGAACCGATAAGCCGTTTGTTCTAATTCCAACAAGGCGCTGATTTTTGTCCGCAAACGTTGGCCAACCAACGGACACCCACGAAAAGCTACCTAGTAAAGGCAGGAAGAGCAAAAAATGCCTGGGCTTGAATTATGGGTAAGGGAAAGCTTAGGACTTGGTCCAGACCCAGCTCGATCTCTATATTATGATCTATAATAGATTGTTCTGTACCATCAAAGAGCAATCTAGATTATAATTAGATCACGGTTCAGTCAAAGACCGAGTAGCCGTTTCTTCCAATTTCAATAGGCTTCTGATTTTGTCCGCAAATGTGGAGGAACCTTAAAATATAAATTTATTTTTTCCAGTCACCTCGTTTTATTTCTGCCTATATGCATTCAATATTACTCGTATTAATCCCTCACTTAAAAATTGATAAAAGCATTGGTGGAAGTAGTAATGTAGAAGTTACTGTTCATGTTTTAAATGCAGTTAGTGAACTTTCATTAATTGGAGGTTTGGAAATGGTTCGGTCTATAGACAAATTTTTTCCTCCTATTATTGCTTTTTTACAAGATTCTACAAGTTTGAATAGACGTGAGGTAAAAATAAATTTTTTTGAAATTTTTGGAATTTTTTGAAAAAATTTTTTGAAAAAATTTTTTGAAAATTTTTTTGAAAATTTTTTTGAAATTTTTTCTTGACAAGTTTTTAAATTTTTTTCGAAAAAAAATTTTAAAAATAAAAAATGAATTTTTGTTAAAATTATTATTTTTATTTCTCAGGCTGCTCTCCGCGCAATGGGTAGATTGTGTCAATGTGTTGGTTATGTTGTTGAACCATACAAAGATTATCCTGATTTATTAGAAATTTTGTTACAATTATTAAAGACTGAATTGTCGAGTTCAATGCGAAGGCTTACAATGCGTGTACTTGGAATTATTGGGTTTGATAATTATAAAATTTAAATTAAAAAAATTATTTGTTCACATCCTTATACCTTGGGACAGATTAATTTTTGTTCTATAATGCGTTGAAATTTAGACAGCTCCTCTATTCAATTCTCATTGAAATTAAAAAAACATCGTTAAATAGGGGTGTTTATCTATTATTGGGTGTATCCTATAAAAAAGTCCTTTTATAATTAGGTCAATTTAGGCAGGTCCATCATTCAATGGTCCACGCATTTTTTTAAATTACTTTTTTATACTTTTTTTTATTTATCCTATAGAGAGAAATACGTCTAATAATAAAAATTTTAATTAAAAAAAATAAATTTCATTCTTTGAAAAAGAATTTTTTTTGCAGCGCTTTGGATCCATACACCTATAAAGTTTATATTGGCAAAGTCCACTCACATATAAGATCTCGTTCGCTTGCTTTAACACTTCCAAATTCTGGAGAAACAAATGAAACACGTTTGTCTTTATTTTTAAAAAAATTGAAAATTTCAAAAGAAATTTTTTCAGACGGAATGGATATAATTACTTGGATAAATTATGAACGTTTAACCCTTGCTGAATATTACCCAGCTTTATCAATTTCCAATTTAATTTTAATGTTACAAGATCCTCAGCGTTGTTCTTTGTTTCATAGAGAAATAATGCATACAATATTACAAATTTTTACAAATTTGAGAAATCGTCCACAATATTTGGGACAGGTGTTTTTTATATTTTTAAAATAAGGATACGGGCATAGACGGTTAGCCTAGCTGGAATTTGAACTTAAAATCACGGGTCGAAAATAGGCGATAACCAAAAACTGGTGGCACCGATTAATGTGTTTTTATATGTTTAAAAAATAAGGTTGGACACAAAAAGGTTAATTGAACTGGAATATGAACTAAAAGCCTAGGATCGAAAAATAGGCGATAACCGAAGCTTGGGACACCGGTTAATTACCGACTGTGTCCAACTTTAGTTTAAATTTAAAATAATGCCTCTAGTCTAGTTTATGGGTCTAATGTGTTTTTGTGTTTTTGAACAAGGTGCGGGCGAAATGAGTTTTTTACGTTGATTTTTAGCTTTGTGTTTCGTTTTTGTTTGAAATTTTCTTTTGCGTCCGTTCCTGATCTGAGTCAATTGAAATTTTTTTAACTCACAATCAGTAACTACCAAAGCCAGAAAAATTTTTTTAAATATAAAGCTCAATAATAAATGTATTTTTCAGGTCATTCCCCCACTTATTTTAATTACTGAACAATGCAAACCTCAATTAAGAAGTTTTTTTCTCAGTCAATTTTCGCGTTTTATTTCAATTATTAATTTACAATTGCAGCCATATATGACTCAATTTTTTTGTTTAATTGCTGTAATTTTATTTTTTTTTAAATATTTTTTTAAATAATTAATTTTTAAGAAAGCTTGGTGTTGGAGTGATAATGACGATCTTAAAGGTGTTTAGATTAAATTTAATTTTTAAAGACAAATTTGGCTTGAATGTCCGCATCCTTAAAGAGATGATTTTTATAAATTATAGTTAAAAAAAATTTTTTTTTTGGAAAAATAATTGCCCTAAAATCTCTCCTCCTCCCTCCATTTGAATGTCTTCCTTTAATAAAATGTGAAGAATAAATAGAATGTTGAGTGAAAGTTGAGTTAAGAATAGAAGGCCTGAGTTACAGTTGGAGGTTTTGGGTATTTTGGAAATTAAGAAAAGATAATTTTGGAGGTGTACAAAATCAACAGACTTTTAATAAAAAATTTGCGGATTAAACTTGCGGATTTTTGGGAACCTATGTAGAGAAACTGACTTTTATTTAACCCAAATTTTAATTTTTAAAAATTTTTTATAGGAATCATTATTCGCCTAATCGAAGATGTTGGTCGTTCTTTTGGTGAAAAATTTACAGTTTATGCAACAAATTTGTGCCCATATCTTTTAAATGTGCTTCAAAATGATACTTCTCCTGACAGAAAACTTACTTTAAACGTAAGGGGAGACAAAGGAAATTTTTATTGAAAAAAATTAAAAAATTTTTTCTTCTTTTAGGCACTTTCTTGTACTCAAACAATTTCAAAATGTCTTGGAACACATATTCATTTAATTCTTTCACCTATCCTTGCATGCATTGAAGATGTTGATTCACCAGAAAAAAATCGTTTAGCAGCACTTGAAACAGTAATATCTTTAGCTTCAAATCATCCAATAATGGAACAAGCACCTCAAATTATGCAAACTTGGATGCGTTGTATTTCTATTAAATTTATGCAGCAAAAACTTATACAATTACTTTCTACAATAATTAAGGTGAAAGAAAATATATTTTTTTAATAATGAAAATACTGAGATGAGATTATTTGCACTTTTTAAGGAAGATTAAGGGTTGTTACCTAAAGGTAGTTGATGGCTAGTTTAGTGCAGGCATGGTCTTGGATACGAATAATATCCGGATACCCGCGGATACGGATGGATATGGATATTGACCCCACGGATATATCCGGATACGGATATCAAAATCCGTATCCATGTCCTAGTCTGGTTTAGTGTAGTCCCTGAATGGCACTTATTTAGATTATACGCCTCGAATGTAGGGAGGCAATAGGGTCTTATTTTAATACTCTATAATTGTAAGAATTGTTTTACTGGCTGCAAATCAAGAATGTATCGGAGTACCATGCCTCAAACCTGGACTTTTCTCAACTTCGAACCCGTTTCAAAAAATATTTTTAAAATTCGAATCTACTTTTTCACAACCCTTTCCATCCCTGCTGTGGATATTAGATTGTTAAGGATGTCCAAGAATTAGTCTTGAGGCTTGGAAAATTTTTTGTCTTGTACACCTCTACAGGGCTTATAAATTTTATTTTTATTAACTTAAAACAGAAATGGGACCAATTTCCAATCTACAAAGATAGTGTCAATGCAGCATTAAGACGTCATCGAGTAGATGGCGCCCTCCGCCAAGAATATCGAGAACAATTGGCAAACTTACAAGTTTTACATGCTCAAAATCTCCCTCTTCAACTTGAACGTCAACCTATAACTGAACCTTCTTTTGTACGGCAAATACAATTTTTACCTCCACCTGAAGCTGAAACCTCGAAAGAAGATGTTCCTTCAACTAGCTCCGCTTTAGAAAATATAAAAATGGCGCGCATGCCCTCAGGCAATTTTTTAAATTTTTTTCTGTTTTTTGAAAATTTTTTGAAAAATTTTTGAAAAAAAATTTTTTTAGTTCGAGATACACAGTTTCATGTTAATGTTGATCAGTTACGCCGTTGTTGGAAAATTCAAACTTTAACTTCTCGTGAAGACTGGCTTCAATGGCTAAGCACTTTGCGCGTTCATTTTATCCGTCAAAGCCCATCGCCTGCTTTGAGGGCATGTACAGGATTAGCTGAAGCACACGATCCTTTGGCAAAGTTTGGGGGAAACTTTTAGAAAATTAAAAAATTATTTCTTAAGGGAACTATTTAATGCTGCATTTATTTCTGTTTGGACTGAACTTCGTGAATCAGACCAAAATCAACTTACAATGTTACTTATTGAAATTTTGAAGCAATGTCCACATGCAGAGCCTATCCAAGCAATTTTAAATTTGGCAGAATTTATGGATCATTCAGAAAAGGTCCTTGAAGAACAATTTTTTAATTTTTATCGGCCCTCCCATGTTTTACCATTTGCTTTTTTTACTAATAAGTCTCCACTTAATGCTACTTAATAATTAGAGACCGGCAAAATCGAACTTCCGGGATCCGGAGTCGGGATCCTTTTTCTTAACAGATGCCGGGACGGGATACCGAGGGATAAATCCCGTAAAATCCCGTCGGGATCCCGTCCCGCGCAGGTCGCTACTAATAATACGTCGTTAGCAAATTGTGGATTTTTAGCCTTATTGTTAAAATATCCTATTGATATGGGCAAACGTTTTTGATCCTATTATCTCATTTTACAAAAAAAAATTTTTTTATTTTCTTTTAGGGTCCTTTCCCAATAGATTACAACACGTTAAGTAAATCAGCAGAACAAACTCGTGCTTATGCTAAAGCTTTGCGCTATAAAGAACTTGATATATTAAAATCGAGAAAAGGAGAACCTAATCCTGATGATTGTCAATCTTTGATAATGTTTGGAAAATTAAAAAAAAATAATTTAATTATTTTTTATTTTTAAAGTTTATTTAATAAGCTCAATTTGGAAGAAGGTGCTGCTGGTATTGTTCAATATGCAAGAAGACATAATATGGAAATTTCGGTAGTTTTGGAGTATAGGAAGAGCTCTTTATATAAAATACAGTCTTGAAGTAGAAAAAATGTTCTCACAATGAGGCGTATCTTAAATAGAAGGGTACCGTTTAGATAGCTCCTCTACTCTAGACAGCTATCTCAATTTAATTTTGGAGGAGATGCCTATGTAGAAAAGCGTATATGGCTTATGAAAACGACACAACTTTAAGCCGCACTTTTACTCTCCCTTCCGCTCTAGGCAGCTCCGCCACTTGATAAAACTTATCTTAATTAGAGGTGTATTTCTATTATGGGGGGGGGGGGGGGGGGAAGTTACATCTTATACTAGAGAGGTCTTTGCTTGTATGTATAATAAATTTTTCTCATATCTCATTTTCAGGGTCGTTGGTACGAAAAACTTGGTGAATGGGAAAAAGCTTTAGAATTGTATAGACAAGAAATGCTTTTAATGCCAGATACAGACCCTTCTTGGACTACACTCTCTTCAGCATCTTCTTTAACAGAACATCATTCACAACAATTACAGTTGCAACAACATACCCCAACGGGACACCAACAAGATATTTCCCGTCATGCATCTTCTATTCATTGCGAAAATAGTATATCTAGTCGTGTTAATTTGCAAAATATTGGGGTAAAAATTTTGAATTCTTCATTAAACATGCATATCCTTAATTAATCCATCAGTCCTTAAAAAATTTAAATTGTTATCAATTGTTGATAATGTTGATCATGCTAATTGGAGATCGGATTGAGTGACGAGAGTGTTCAACAAAAATCTCGATTATTGAACTCGCTATTTTTCGAGATATCGGTCTTGAGATTCTCTCTCAATTTGCTCTCAGTCCGGTCTTTATTAATAATTTTGCAGCATGATTTTGCTGTCTAACATTTACGAATTGATACTCATAATTAATTCTGTTATATTATGGAAGGGTCCCTTATTAAGCGCTATGTTGCTGAACATGACCCTCTTACCGTCTATCCAATAGGTTTCAATTTCCAATAGGACATCAACAACAAGATTTAATTTTGTCCGCAACTTTTATCCGCAAATGACACGGGGACTTTTTGTGGGCTTTACATACTATATCTCCTTTACATACTATTTTTTCGACTTTAAATCTATTAAATTTTCTTTTTAAGAAATTTGATATTGAACTTCACCAAATGCGTTGTCTCGAAGCTTTAGGACAATGGTCACAACTTAGCAATGCTTGTCAAACAGCTTTATTGGATTCTGAACTTGCTGAAACTCATTTAACTCGTCAACAAAGTGAAACTCCATTAGACATTTCCTTATCACATCATAATCTTGGGATAGGTGGGGGAGGAGGGGGAGGAGGAAGTAGCAGTATTGGTGGGGGTATTGGTGGTGGTGGAGGAATTTTAAATACAACATTAAATGAATATGCAAGACGTCAAAAAATTGCACAAATGGCTGCTAGAGCTAGTTGGGCTACTGGTTGGTGAAGGAAATTTTTCTGAAATTTTCAGAAATTTTGAAAAAAAATTTTCTGAAAAATTCTGAATATTTTTTAAAAATTCTGAAAAAATTTTTTTATTAAGGCGATTTTGTTAAAATGAATGAATATGTACAAATGGTTAATGAAAATACACAAGAAGGCTCTTTTATGCGTGCTGTATTAGCTATACGTGAAAATGATTTTGAGCGTGCTCATTCTTACATTAATAAAGTAGATTTATTACTTATTAATTTTCATACACGTGGCCGGCATTAGCTATAAAATAATCCCAAAACTTCTCTTTTAAATACCTCATTATCAGGTATACTTTTATTTAAGAGATGCCTTTCTAAATTTGGTTGTTCACATGGTTTGGGAAGCTACCCAGCGATGCCTCCAATTTAAGATCCTCCAATACTAACACTTCCATTTAGGCGACGTTTTTTAGATTTGGTTGGTCACACGGTTGGGGAAGCTACCCAAGCGATGCCTTCTATTTAAGATACCCATCATTATAGAATACTTCCTTTTTCACCCTAGGGGTGTACCAATAGCGAGGTCAAACTTTTAAATTTCACAATTTATAATTCAAAGGTACGCGATATTTTTGATTCTGAGTTAACTGCAATGGCAACAGAAAGTTATGATCGTGCTTATGGTGCAATGGTTACCTTACAAGAATTGACAGAATTGGAAGAAGCTGTTGAATACAAAATGATTACTAATCGTGATGCGCGTATTGTAATGCTTTGGAGTCGTCGTTTACAAGGATGTAGACCAAATATAGATCATTGGAGACGTATTTTGTTGGTTCGGTGAGTTTATAAATATATTTTGTGTGTAAAATTTTCTTGAATGACCCACTTACCTTAAAAGCATATTTGTTAAAAGCATGGTTGCCCTTACCTTAAGAGCATGGTTGCTGGCCCTGTTCATTTAAGTCGTTGTTTAACCATTTTTTTAGGTGTTCAGTTTTTCTTCTTCCACTTTCTTGCCAAATTTTAATTCAGCTTTTTAAAACAAATTTCACGTAACTCTGCGGGAGTGGCAGATTTTCTAGTCATGAACAGTTTTTAACTTTAAAGCCGAGGTCATGATTGAGCTCCGGCTTCGGACATTTCAAAATCTTGGCTTATGATTTGGCTAGAATTGGCTTTTTAGCTAGTTCCCTTGGGCATAGTAAACATTGGTTAATTAGCTCATCTCTTCCCTTAAAAATTTTTTTAAATCCCTTTTTAAGTTCAATTGTTTTCTCACAAAATGAATTACGCACACATTGGATAAAATTTGCCGCACTTTGTCGACGTGAAGGCAAACAAGCTATAGCAAGAAATATTTTACGTTCATTATTGGATGTATCTGGAGATGTCCCAGTTGATAAATTAAATATTCCTTTTGATAAGCCACAATTAGCATTAGCTGTTTGTAAACAAATTTGGTGTGAAGGGCAAAAAAGGACAGCTTTTTCACATTTGGAACAGTAAGAAAAAAAGAAATTAGATAAATACTGGCAGATCTCACTATAAGATACCCTAATGTTAGATCACCTATATTTTTTAAGCATGTTGAATTTAAATCTACTCTATTTAAGAATTGGTTTTCAAACTTTGGAAGGTCATTCCATTGTGGGTTAGGCTTCCTAAGCGATACCTTCTATTTAAGGTACGCCTAACACATTATGGTTACACACCTCTATTTAACGGACGTTTTATTAAAATTGGATGACTATTTGATGTGGTTAGAGGGGGGAATGTGTGGATAGGGATAGTACGAGGCTTACCATACCATGCATACGTAAAATATCATACACCTTATTTTAAAATACATCTCATTATATGGCGTGATTTTTCGACCCTTAATGCGTGTATCATTATAGTGAGGTTCTCGACCTTTTTAAAAAGTTCATAAATAATATTTTTTAAAGATTAACAAAAACTCTTCACCGATTAATTGAACGAAATCGTTTAGTATATCCACGTGAACAATTGGAACCTCTAGCTAGAATTACAGCAAAATGTTATTTAAAATTGGGTGAATGGCAAGAATCATTACTGCAACAACAGGCTATTAGTAAATTTTTTGAAAATTAAAAAAAATATTTTTAAGTTCCTACTAGAGGGGTTTATTTATAAAAAAAATTAATTAGCAATATTTTGTATTTTAAAATTACATTTTTATGAAATGGAATCGAACCTTTCTTACTATTTTCTCTATTCTCTCATTAAGTCAAACACTTTTCCCACTACACCACAATACACATACATCTCCTCAACTTTTTTTAGGTGTGAATTTTCAGGAGGGGTTTTTGATGAGGGGTATATTTATTAGTGTGTTTAGTGTGTTTGTTCGTGTTTGTATGTTTGTGTGTTGTTCGGATAAACATTTAAATTGTTTAAATGAAACATTAAATGTTTTCCATTAAATATGAAACACCTTAGAACCCCTTAAAAATATTTTTAAATAATTTTTAAATATTAAAAAACATTTTCTTTTCACAGTTTTACCTAGCGAAAGGCATGGAAGCTTTTGTATTTCCCCGTCATTAAAAATTCAAAATTCCTCTACAATTAATAATTCAACATTAATTCATCAACAGCAACAACACCAATATTCACCCTATTTATATCAACAACAATCAACAACTTCATCTCCATTTCAACAACAACCTTTAACTAGTGCTGGATTTATGCAACAAAGACAAGCATTTGAACATTCTACATCTATGAAATTACATTATTTTGTTGTTGCAACAAGTTTTGATCAAAATTGGTATAAGGTGAGGAGGAATTATCAATTATAGGAAGCTTTATGAGTCTATTAAATAGTTGTTGAAATATTAGCTTTATTGCTTAACGAGAATTTATCTTTTCTTTTCAATCATTTTTATTTTTTTCCAGGAACCTCTTTAAAATTAGAGAACTTAACGGGGGATTTGATAGAGATACAAGATCGATATCACGAGAAATATGTATCTTGTTAACAGATTTTAGTTTGGTATCTTGTCTCGAATTTTAGTTAACACTAGTGGTTAACTAGACCCCTCTGCCTTCTAAAAATTCTTTCATTTTTAAATCTTTGAATATCCCACACCTTCCTTTTTTTTATTTGAATTTTTTGTACGCCTCTTGTGAGATGTCTTTCAAACCAATATTTTAACTATTCCTTCGAGCTTCAAATTTAATTTTTTGTAGGCTTGGCATCGTTTAGCTACAACATATTATTCAGCTATTAGCCAGCATCAAACATCGACACCTTCGCAACTTCCTCCAACTTTATTACCTATGGAAATTGATTATTCTATTGCTGCTGGGAAAAAAGTAGAAAAATTTTCGAAAAAAATTTTAAATAAATTTTTTTAAGAATTTTCAATTTTTTTAAATAAATTTTTTAATAATTTTCAATTTTTTAACTAATATTTTAAAAATTTTTTTTTAAAAATTTTCAAAAAATTTTCGATCTTTTTTTGAAAATTTCAAAATTAAAAAAAAAATTCTTTTAAAAAAATTCAAAAAAAATTTTTTTTAAGCCTTGGCATCATCATCATTATCAACACCAGCAACAACAACATTATCAACATCATCATCAACAACAACAACAACAACAATTAGCAGCCTATTATACTCCAATACCTTCACAACAACAACCACATCACCATCACTCTCTTCATCATCCTCAACAAATAGTTACTGATTTAACAACAATTCCACCACCTTCAATAATTACTGGAGGAGGATGTGGAGGTGGAGGATGTGGGGGAGGTGGATGTGGAGGGGATGTTAATAGTAGTGGTTATGTTCAACATCCACTTCCTTTACATGGTATGCCTGTAGCTTATGTTCAACCACCTCCATCTGTTCAAGCTTCAACTGCTTCTCAAATGAATAGTCCACCAATAATGCAATCACCGCTTAGGGCACATCAATTAGTTACTAATTATGCTGTAAATGCTGTTAGTTGTTTCTTCAAGGCTATTCAATTGGCTGAAGGTAGAGGAAAAATTTCTAAAAATTTCGAAATTTTTTTTGAAAATTCTCTAAAAAATGTTTTTAAATTAAAAAAATAAAAAGGTTCTCGTCTTGATGACACTCTTCGCCTTTTAATGCTTTGGTTTGATTATGGTGATCGTCCAGAAGTTTTTGAACGTTTACGTGATAATTTAAAAATGATACCCTCAGAAGTATGGCTAGAAGTTGTTCCACAATTAATTGCTCGTTTGGTAGGGTTTTTTGGGATTTTTTCTTTTAAAGGGTATCTTTTTAGGATTCTCAAAATAACACTGGAGTTTTAGTTAGACAATTAGTTATTGATGTTGCTAAAGCATATCCACAAGTATGAAAAATTTTTTTATTATAAATTACTCTATGTTCTCTTCGGACTACCATATAGTGTGAAGGGAACATTCTATGTTCTCTTCGGACACCATATAGTGTGAACGGTACATTTACGCTACTAGATAATTGTTCTTCTCACACTACAATATAGTGCGAAGGGAACATTTATGTTCTCTTCACACTACTATGTAGTGCGAAGGGAACATTTACACTACTAGATTCTATGTTCTCTTCACACTACCATATAGTGCGAAGGGAACATTTACGCCACTTCATTCTTTGTTCTTTTTCACACTACAATATAGTGTGAAGGGAAATTTTATGTTCTTTTCACACTACTACTAGTGCGAAGGGAACATGTATGTTCTCTTCACCCTATCACATAGTGCGAAGGGAACATTACCATTTAGCATACTAAAAAAATTTTTTTTCTTCCTTTTAAGGCTTGGGTATATGCATTAACTGCCGCAATAAAATCTCGAAATACTCGTCGTTCCCAAGTAGCAAAAGAAATACTTGATATAATTGCTGAAAATAAGCCAATACTTGTTGAACAAGCAACTTTAGTTAATGATGAATTAATTAGATGTGCTATATTATGGCATGAACAATGGCATGAAGCTTTGGAAGAAGCTAGTCGTTTCTATTTTCAAGATAAAAATGTTGATGAAATGATGAATATTTTACGTCCATTACATCAAAAAATTGAACAAGGGCATACTACAATGAAAGAACAATCTTTTAATCATGTAAAATTTTTATAGAAAAATCCGCTTATAATTTTTTATTTTTTAACAGACATATTATAAAGACTTGAAGGATGCATTTGAACATTGTGAGGTTTTTAGACGAACTGGAAATCAGAAGGAAATGGTAGGGATATCATTCATAAATTGTAGTCTTTGTTCCTTCACACTGCCTCATAGTGCGAAGGGAACATCAGCATTTAATTTTATTTTATCTTCTTGAAACTGCGGATTGGGGGACCATTATTTTAAAATTTTTAGACTACTTTCTTCACATTTTACAAAAAATCTAATCATAAATCAGTCATTGTTCCCTTCACACTACCTCATAGTGCGAAGGGAACATCAACACTTAAACTACTTTTTTTAGGATTGCTAAATGGGACCTTCTTGACATTCTTCAAACTATCCTTAAACCCTTTTTAAGAAAATTAAAATCATAAATTACTCTTTGTTCCCTTCACACTACCTCATAGTGCGAAGGGAACATTAGCACACTTAAACTTATTTTAATTTTTTTTTCTAAAGACAGCAGCATGGGACTTATATTACAACATTTTTAAACGTATAAGTAATCAACTTCGACAAATGAATACATTAGACTTAAATTATATTTCACCACGTTTATGTAAAGCAAGAAATTTGGAACTTTCAATTCCCGGAACATACGACCCCAATGCTCCATTAATTACTATAGCTTCAATGCAGCCACATTTACAAATTATAATGAGTAAACAAAGGCCAAGAAAAATTTATATGAGAGGAAGTGATGGAAAAGAATATGCTTTTCTATTAAAAGGACATGAAGACCCTAGACAAGATGAACGTGTTATGCAATTATTTGGCTTAGTTAATTCTTTAATTTTGAGAGAAGCGGAAACTAGCAGAAGAAATTTAACAATACAACGGTAATAGAAAAAAGGAGATTTGACCATACAATTTTTATTTCAGTTATTCAATAACTACGTTAAGCCAAAGCAGTGGACTTATTGGTTGGGTACCTAATTGTGATACACTTCATTCACTTATAAAGTCTAAAATTAAATAGTTAAATAATTTAATTTTTATTTTTAAAGGGATTATCGTGAAAAGAAAAAAATTCCAATATCTGAGGAACATAATAAAATGCAAAAATTATGTGTTGATATAGATAAATGTACATTATTACAAAGAGTTGAGGTTTTTGAAGAAGCTTTACGTTCAACTTGTGGTGATGATTTACGTCAAACATTGTGGATGAAATCTCCAAAGTATTTGAGGAAGTTATAAAAATTAAAAAAAATTTTTTTTAAGTTCTGAAGTTTGGTTTGATCGTCGTACTAACTATACTCGTTCAATGGGCGTAATGTCGATGGTTGGTTATATTCTTGGACTTGGCGATAGGTGAATAAATCTATAATTTTCAGAATTAATTTAGAATTAATATTTTCCGGATATATTTCAGAATAATTTTTAGACGTATTTTCCGTAAAAGAATTAATTTTCAGAATTTATATTTTCCGGAATTATTTCAGAATTAATTTTAAATGTATTTTCCGGAAAAGAATTAATTTTCAGAATTTATATTTTCAAGAATAATTTCAGAATTAATTTTAATTGTATTTTCCGGAATAATTTCAGAATCAATTTTAAATGTATTTTCCGGAATGATTTCATAATTAATTTTTAAATGTATTTTCCGGAAAAGAATTATTTTCAGAATTAATATTTTCCGGAATAATTTCAGAATTAATTTAAAATGTATTTTCCGGAAAAAAATTAAATTTTCAGAATTAATTTTAAATGTATTTTCCGGAAAAGTTTTAATTTCCAGAATTTATATTTTCAAGAATAATTTCAGAATTAATTTTTAAATGTATTTTCCGGAATAATTTCAGTATTAATTTTTAAATGTATTTTCCGGAATAATTTCAGAATTTATATTTTCCGGAATTTTAAATGTATTTTCCGGAATAATTTCAGAATTAATTTTCTTTATATTTTTCGGAGTATATTTCATTATTAATTTTTTAATTTTTTAGGCATCCTTCAAATTTAATGCTGGATAGATTAAGTGGAAAAATTGTACATATTGGTGTGTTTATTTTTTTGTAATAATTATTTTTATTTTTAAAGATTTTGGTGATTGTTTTGAGGTTGCTATGAAAAGAGAAAAATATCCAGAAAAAATACCTTTTCGTTTAACTAGAATGCTTATTCAGGTAATTGTTGGAGAGATGATTTTTTGGTTAAACTTCTCTGGAATTTTAGGAAAATATTTCAGAATTAATTTTGTAAATGTTTTTTCCAGAAAAAAATTCCGAATTAATATTTTCCGGAAAATATTTTATATATTATTATAGGCAATGGAAGTGACAGGAATTGATGGAAATTATCGTTTAACTTGTGAACGTGTTTTACGTCTTTTAAGGGCAAATAATGATAGTATTTTGGCTGTGCTAGAAAGTTTTGTTTATGATCCAATGTTAAATTGGAGGCTTACTGAGGGTGTTGTTAATGCTGCTGGGATAGCTGGTGGTGGGGGAGTTGGCGGTGGAACAACAGGAAAAGATAATACATTAGTTAAAGGAAGGTATGGAATGGATGGTTTCTGGATTTTTTAATAAAAAAATTTTTTTCAGAGTTTCACTTCCATTAGTTGAAGACCCAAATACTACAACAGCTACTATTCCACCTAATATAAATCCTCATCAATATCATCCACATTATTTAAGACAACAACAAATACAACAACAACAAACAGAAGAAATACATGGAGGGGGCAAACCACCCTTTCAAATTCCACAGCAAAGAGGAGAAGATAATGAAGCAATTAGTAGGGTTAAAGCAAAACTTTGTGGACGGGATTTTAATCCCTTCGAGCCTATTAATGTTACGGAACAGGTAGAGTTAAAATTATAATTTTTCCGAAAAGTATTTCAGAAATTTTATTCCAGAATTTTTTCCGGAATTTATTTCAGAATTATTTTAAATGTGTATTTTCCGGAAAGTATTTCAGAATTTCTATTCCAGAATTTTTTCCGGAATTTATTTCAGAATTATTTTAAATGTGTATTTTCCGGAAAGTATTTCAGAATTTCTATTCCAGAATTTTTTCCGGAATTTATTTCAGAATTAATTTAAATGTGTTTTTTCCGGAAAGTATTTCAGAATTTCTATTCCAGAATTTTTTCCGGAATTTATTTCAGAATTAATTTAAATGTGTTTTTTCCGGAAAGTATTTCAGAACTTTTTCCGGAATTTATTTCAGAATTAATTTTAATGTGTTTTTTCCGGAATTTATTTCAGAATTTTTTCGGAATGCATTTCAGAACTATTTTAAATGTGTTTCTTCCAGAAATTATTTCAGAATTTTTATTCCAGAATTTTTTCCGGAAAATATTCCAGAATTATTTTAAATGTTTTTCTTCCAGAAATTATTTCAGAATTAATTTTAGAATTTTTTCTACCGGAAATTATTTCAGAATTAAAAATTATTTTTAAATTTCTTAGTATATTTTAAATAGGTTGACCGTCTTATTGAACAAGCAACAATGAATGATAATTTATGTCAATGTTATATTGGTTGGTGCCCATTTTGGTAGTTTATTTTGCAGAAAAATTATACTATTTATTATAGGTATTTAAATAATAATATATTTTTTTCGCAAATTATATTTTTAATATATTGCTCACTTTTTTCCAAAATTATAATTTATAAATTTTATGAAAATTTTTTTTATAATTTTGGACACAAACTGGTCTCCTAAATAAATTTAATAAATTGTTCAATTAAAAATACATAATATATTGAAAAATATGTGAATATTTAAAACAATAAACACACTTAAATATTTCAGAAGACCTCTTTAATCCATTAAAAAAATTAAAATATTTCGGGAATTTGTTGATCTTCTGGGTTGGTATAAATAAAATTTAATTTTAGAATGTGTTTTTAAAATCAGAAAGTTTCTTTTTAAATTCTTTCATTTTACATCAAAACAGAAGAGAGTATTTTCATAAATATATAAATACATATATCCATTTTAAAGAAATAAAAGCATGTCGACAAACTAAATAATATTTCAGAATTAATTTCAGAATTTGTATTTTTTCCGGAAAGTATTTCAGAATTAAATTTGAAATGTGTTTTCCGGAAAATATTTTCAGAATTAATTTCAGTGTATTTTTTCCGAAAGATACATATTTCAGAATTTGTTTTCCGGAAAATATTTCAGAATTAATTTGTGTTTTCCGGAAAACATTTCAGAATTTGCATTTTTTCCGGAAAGTATTTCAGAATTAAATTTAAAATTGTGTTTTCCGGAAAATATTTCAGAATTAATTTGTGTTTTCCGGAAAACATTTCAGAATTTGCATTTTTTCCGGAAAGTATTTCAGAATTAAATTTAAAATTGTGTTTTCCGGAAAATATTTCAGAATTAATTTCAGTGTAGTTTTCCCGAAAAATATTTCAGAATTAATTTGTGTTTTCCGGAAAATAATTAATTTCAGTCCGGAAAACATTTCAGAATTTATTTCAGAATTGTTTCTTCCGGAACATATTTCAGAATTAATTTTATAACGGGTTTTTATTAAATTTCTATTTAAAAATTATTCTACTTGTTGTGGTGTAACCCGTACGGAAGGTGCGTCTTTTGAAACGCATGGATGCCCGTGATCTTTCCAAAATAAAGCTTTACAATGGCAACAAACAACAACAAGATCAGCATACTAAAAAATATTTTTATTTAATTTTTAAATAAATTCTCTAACAGTTTCACGAAGCCCGTAGTATTTTTTGAGTTCAAAAAATAAATCACGCCAGCTTTGTTCAGGATACTTTAAAAGAAAAATACAAAAATTAAATTAAAACAATTTTTACTTGATGTTTGTTAATTTGAAGCTGTGAGAAGTGGAATTGGCAAAGCGTTCTATAAAAAAGGTACAAATGTTATACAAGTTTTCTAGAAGTTTTCGACTTAATTACATGTGTTTTCCGGAAAATGTTCTATATTGCTTCCAGAATATTTTTCAGAATATAATTAATTCCGGAAAAGTTTTATAAATGTATTTTTCCGGAAAAGTTATAATTTCAGAATATATTTTCCGGAGACTATAATTGCTGAAAAGTTTATTTAAATAATTTTTCCGGAAGAGTTATAATTTCAGAATTTATCAGAATTTATTTTCCGGAAAGTTATATTAATTCTGGAATTGTTTATTAAAATAATTTATTCCGGAAAAGGTATAATTCTTGAATGTATTTTCCGGAAAGTTATAATTAATTCCGGAAGTTTATAAATTAATTTTTCAGAAAGAGTATAATTATAGAATTTATTTTCCGGAAAACTTTTATTAAAATAATTTATATTTTTTTACCTCCACTGTCTTTTTTCTGATTCAACCAAAGCCTGAAGTGTTTCATTTGCTTTAGCAGCTTCCAACAGAGAAACATGATCTGGCAATTTACTCAGAATTAGGGAAAGTACTTCTCTTGGAAGGTCCAAAAATGTTATATTCTCTGGATTGGCTTCAGATAAAGTATGTGGAGCAGAACTTTTGGCAATTAAGTCGAGTAAGTTAGTACAGGTTCCTTGTTGTTTGCTGACTAATTGTGGAGAACCACAAACATGGGGAGAATCCAAACCAGAATTAAATTTTTTGAGAATATCCTTTAAATTAAATTTAATTTTGAAATTGTAAATTAAAAAATAAATTCTTCCTTTCCGGAAAAAAATTAAAATAGTTTTTTCCGGAAAAGTATAATTTCAGAACGTGTATTTTTCCGGAGAATATTTCAGAATTAAAATGTATTTTTTTCAGGAAGGTGTTTCAGAATAAATTTAAAATAAATTCCGGAAAAAGTTTAATTAAGTTTTCCGGAAAAGTTATAAAATTATTTCAGAATAATTATAGAAAGTGTATTTTTTCCGGAAAAAGTTTATTTCAGAATAACCCTAACAAATTAAACAATTTCCGGAAAAGTTTAAATAATTAACTAAATTTTCCGGAAATATAATTTCCCTATTATTTCAGAATAATTTTTCAGAATAAATTTTTTCAGAATAAGAAAATTATTTCAGAATTATTAGAACAAATAATTTTTCCGGAAATGCTCTTTTCCGGAAAAAGTTTATTAAAAATATACTCTACCTTAGTTGTAGTTATATGCATATCATTCTCCACACTATGTAAAACCATTGCTTGTATTATAGCTTTAAAATAATTTTATTTTTAAATTAATTATTTTCTTCCTTACCAAAAAGTATTTTTCTCGATGAAGCACTTAAATTGTGCAATTTCTCATTCACCAAAATTTGGACAACTTTGCAAATATAATTAAATCGTCTAATATCAACAACAGCCCTAGCCATATCCAAACGATGAAAAGCTTCTGACATGCTTGTACATCCAATAAATTCTTTTGAACGATTTTTTAATTTAACAAAACAATATGGTTGAGACCAGAAACTTTTTCTATCTGTTATGTTGTTTTGGTCATCACTATCTTCGTTATCTTCATCTTCTGCGTTGTCTTCATCCTCCTCTTCGTCTTCAAAAAAATGTAAAATTTAAAATAATATATATTTTGGATTTGCGGACAGAAAATTTTTACCCAAAAAATTTTTGCGGACAATCCGCAAGTTTTTTGCGGACAAAAAATTTTGTCCGCAAATTTTTTGCGGACAAAAAATTTTTTTGCGGATAAATTTTTTATTCAATTATATTTTATAATTACCGTTATTAATTAATTCATTAGTTGTTTCCCCTTCCAAAATATCAGCCTCATTTAAGGAAAAATCATTTTCTTCTTCTTCACTTTTTTGTCTCAAATTAGTGTTTAATTCCCCTTCAATTTCCTCTTCAGCAGAAGATGGTGGCGAATCAACAGAATTTTCAGAATTGAGAGAATTTGAGCTATTTTCTCTTTTGGGCAATAAATCTAACTGAAGAAATAATTTTTATAGAATTTTTGGATTTGCGGACAAATTTAAAAATTTGCGGACTGTCCGCAAATTTTTTGCGGACGTCCGCAAAATTTTTGCGGACAAAAGAATTTTTTCCGAAATTGTTTTAGGATTCGAATTAAAATATTTTGAAAAAATATATTTGCCTGTATAGGACGTAATTTAATCAATTCCCATCCAGCAGTATGGTTGACATGATTAACACGTACCCACAGATCTCCTTTAAAAATAAATTTTAAAAAAATTCAAAAAAATTTTTTTTTATTTACCGGGTGCTCTCCAATCTTTTCCAATAAAAGGCATTTTTTAAAATTAAATTTAATTTTCAGTTGAAGAAAAAAAAATAAAAATGAAAAAAATCTGAAAAAAAAAATTTTACTTAATATTAAATAATTTATTTAAAAATAAAAAAAATTTTTTCTCAAATCCCGTGTTAGCAAATTAAAAATCCCGTGCTATACACGTAAAGAAATTTTTAAAAGAAATATTAAAAGCTTTAGAAAATTTTTTTCAGTCAAAAGATTTGTGTGTGGTGATCAGTTAAAATGATCAGTTAAAAAAAGAGATTAATTAATTATAATTAAGTGATCATTAAAAATAAATTTAAAAAAAATATCAGATGATGCAAAAATAAATAGAAAATAATTTTAAAATTATTTTTGGATTTTCTTTGCAAAAAAAAAGAAAAAATTATTTTTAAAGGATTTATTTTAATATTTTAAGCGACTAAATACCTTCCAGACAATTTACCGCCTAACAAAAATAATCTTATCTAATAATGAGGCGTCTCTTAAATAGAGGGTATCTCTTAGACAGATCCCCAATGGCTAACCAACCAAAAAAGCGTTCCTTAAATAGAGGTTTTGGATGTCTCTTATAACGAGATTTTTGTCTGTAAATTGTCTAGACGGTAAATTGTCTGGAAGGTGTTTTGTCCCACAAGGATTAAACAATATTGTTTTGATAATAAAAATGGAGGAATTTGGATTGTTTTTCAAAAATAAAAATTTCTTAAGGATAGCCAACTGTTTCTCTTTTCTAAGAAATGTTATCCCATTTGGAAATGAAAGAAAATTTTTTTCTAAGAAAATTAAACGCCTGATTTCCCCCAAATATTATTATACATATCCTCTCCTTTCTTTAGCTGAGAAAAAAAATTTTTGGGGAAATAAAAAAATATTATTTAGTGATTAAAAGAGAGAAAAGGAAGACAGACTTTAGACCATCTAAAAAATAATTTAAAAAAAATAAAAATAAAATTAATTAATTCCAATAAAGTGGACTGGCATATCTTTATGCAAGTCACCTCTGGACTAGCGTAAAAAGAGATGTTAAAAAAGTGGAAGATGGAAGTGGAAAGGTCAATCTGTGGAATACGGAAGAGATCACATCCTTGCTGTGTTTCCTGAAATAAAATTTTCTCCCAAGACTTTGTAAAAGTCCCAGGATTTGACCCCAACTTTGTGTTGCCCTAAACATTTAAAGGGGGTGTTCTCTTTGAAGAAGGAATAAAAAAAAATTTAAAATATAAAAGAACAATAAAATTAGAGACAATAAACAACAAAAGAAAAAAAAACAAAAAATAGTTACAAGACAAAAGAAAAAACAAAATTTTTGGGGTAATTTTTAAAGAAAGGCAGGCAAACTTTGGACTTTAAAGATTTTCAAGGAATTTAATTAAAAAAAAACAAAAAACAGGAAAATTCAATCAATAAAATTTTTAAAAATAAGAAGCTCTCATTTATACGTCAGCCTCGCCGGAAGTTCCGGTTCCGATTCCGGTAGTCCAGAAGTTACGGGATTTTTGGTTCCGGTGTCGGCCGAAGCTCTCATTTATACGTCACCTCCAGAAAATCGGACATTAAAGCGCCAAAATGACGTATAATCGAGATTTGATTTAAACTAAACTTGAAGGGGACGTATAAACGAGCTTCAATTTTAGAAATATCCGACATTCAAGTGACGTATACACGAAAATATGGTTGGGGTTTTCGAGCCGGGCCGACGTTCGAGTCATTTTTTCATGCCTCATTTTTATCGGCCCGGCCCCGGCCGAGTCTTTTCCAGGCCAAAATTCGAAGCCCGACTCGATCTTTCGGACCGGGCCCCCAATCCTAAAGGTAAGGGTTCTCGGTCCTTGAAAAAGTCGAGGAAAAACTACTCGGAACCAGACTGAAGAAATAAAGCAAAAAAAAATTCTTCGGTTCAGTTCCAAACCACACCCCTAAATAACAAATAATGAAGATAGAAACCCTTTAAACTAAATTAAATTAAAAAATTCTTCCCTCAAAAACCCAAATTAGGAAAAATAAAAAAAACTACAAATTCCTTCCAATCTTTGACTTTTTCTCCAGAAAATCCCAAAAAAGAATTTTATTTAAAAAAAGAAGATAATTTTTACTATTTTAGTCTTTGGCTTTTTAAAAAAATATTTTTAGACGAGAACACTTAAAAATAGTAAAATTAAATAAAATAAAATGATGAGGAAAAAAAATTTTTTTTTGAAATTAGGGAAAATAAAAATAAATGTCACATATTCTCCTCATCATTTTTATAAGAAAAAAAAGATGACACAAGAAGGAACTAATAATAAAATAAAAATAAAGTAATATCTCGACACCCTTAAGGATTGAGAGGGTGTACCAGGGATCCTGCCAAAAAAATAAAGTTGCCGATGTTCGGGGAGCCTAACCACAAGGTCATGGCGACCGTCTTATTTTACCGGTAAAAACCGTCGGGTGGTGGTTACCTAACCAGCAACCGAGTTCTTATTTTATGGCCCCAGGGGTACTTAAAGCTAAGATATATCTTAAAGGGTATCGCCTAGACAAGTTGGCCCCATCTATTTGGCCAATCAATCTAAAAAAATTGTCCGTGCAATTAGAAAGAGTAGAGGTAAATCTGGGTAGCTATGTATAATATTACCCCGGTTGCTCTAGTATTTTTAATTTTAGAATAAAATAATTAAAAATTAAATTAAAATAAGGGTTAAAGTCTGTTTTGCGGCACTCCCGTGATTTGAAAAAACCCTAAGGCAGTAAATGAGGATTTAAATGTGTTTTTGACTTTACTCACGTGTTTTGAAAGAAAAAAAAAAATATTTTTTTGAGAGTTTAATGACATCAATAGAGAATTAAATATTGAGGGAAAATTTAAAAAAAAGAAGTGAATCATTAAAAAAACAGCTGATAAAAGGGAAATAAAGCAACAAAGAATATAGTGGAATCTCTCTAATACGACACCCCTTTCCTTCTTACGACAGCAAAATTTGGGTGAAGTATCGTTATAGAGCTTCCTAAATGGGATCTCCTTCTAATACGACACCTCCTCTCTCTTACGACTTTCCTTCCTAGTGTAAGGAGGATTCGCCTAGCACCATTCAAAACGCTTAGGCAGGGGTTCGATGCCCCGGTAGTTCACCACATCCAGGAGCTATGTGGTAGAGCTCCTGTATATGACGAGGCCTAGCAACCACTGTCAGGAGGTCACAAGTTCGAATCCTGTCCGGTGACTAAAAACTTTTCCTAAACTCTCCCTCCTACGTCAGAAAAAATAGGCGAGAGGGTGTCGTTATACAGAGATTCCCCGCTATTCAAAAATTAAAAAAGTAACACAATTTTTAATAAAAATAAACAAAAAAAAGTTTGCTGAAAATAGTAAAATGAAAAGCTAAAAATATTTTAAAAAGAAAAAAATTTATTTTTAAAACATTTGCTTTCAAGTAAACAAAAAAGACACATTTTTAGTTATAGATTTCCTTCTTTGTAGAATTATTTGAAGGGAAAATGGAAGGAAAAAATATTTAAAATAAATATAAAAATAAATTAAAATAGTATTACATAAGGGTAATTCTACAAAAAAAAAGTCCGCAAAAAATTTGCGGATTATAAAAATGTCCGCAAAAAATTGCGGATAAAAAAAAAGTCCGCAAAAAAATTTGCGGATTATAAAAAAAGTACGCAAAAAATTTGCGGATTAATAGAATCAGAAAAAAATTTAAACTAAGAAAAGTCCGCAAAAATTTTGCGGATTGTCCGCAATTTTTTCGCGGACATTTTTTGCGGCTTTTTTCATGTGTTTATAAAAATAATTTTATAGAAAGTGCTAAGCAGGTGTAATATTATAATAGCTGCTAATGGGTGCCTGGCTGTACATAAACACATAAATGACACCCCCACTTATTAAATATTAGAGCTCGACCCCGGGCCGGGCCCGGAACCGGGTTTTCCGGGCCCGGTAGCCCCGAACCGGGTATTTTTGAGAAAATCCGGTTTTTCGGGGTTTCCGGGTTTTCGGGGTTTTAGCCCGGAAAACCCGGCCCGGGTCTTGTTCTAAAAACCCGGGCCCGGCCCGGGTCCAAGTTTGAGTAAATTTTAAATAAAATTCTGACTTTTTGGACAAATCTATCTCCCTAAACATCCTAAATTCTCAAAATTTTCGCCTGCGGCGGCAAAAAGGGGGTTTACATCAAAATTCCCAAAATTTTTGCCTGCGGCGCTGTATAGTAAGAAATTAGCTAGGTTGTTCCTCCAAAATTCTAATCCTCCCTAATGCCTGGTACACTGCATATCCCTCTTGTCCTTCCAAATCTTTCTTCATCCGATATCCTTCCAGACATCGAGGTATTTAAGGAATAAATGATATCTATGAATTTATCAGTATTAATCGCCGATATCCTCTACTTCCCTCTTTTTTCCGATATCCCTTCGAATCCGCTCATATCTATATTTGGGCGTGTTATCGAAAGATCAAAAGGTTACCTCCTCAGATATCACTTGAATCACAGATATTACTGTTATCTATTACGTAAAGATTTTTATGCGAAATCTTTTTAATATTTTTTCCCGATATACCTCAAAATCCCTGTTAACCCATCCTAGGTGATATATACTCTCCAGATATCACGCAAAATCCCTCAAAAAATACATAAATCGCACCAAACGCCTATCTAAATAAATTAAACCCCTTCAAATCCACCGATATCCCACTTAATCCCGTCAAATCCTTTGATACTCTGATATCGCTTCAAATTTTCTACTATTCAGGATGTAGGTATTGAAGTATGACCTCAAATTTTTGATAAATTTCAATTTTAAATAAGGAAATTTCAAAAAAAAAGCAAAATTTTAAGAATTTTTCAAATTTTGAAAAAACCGGGTCCGGGCCCGGGTGTAAAAAAACCGGGTTTTCGGGGTTTCCGGGTTTTCGGGGTTTTAGCCCGGAAAACCCGGCCCGGGTCGGGGCGGAAGAAAAAAACCCGGATACCGGGCCCGGCAAAGTGAAAATGTCGAGCTCTATTAAATATATTGCCTGAGGCATGAAAATATTAAAATAAATAAAGCATTATTTTTGTAAAATATCCTCTCTCTCAAGGTCACGAAAAAAAATAATTAAAAAAAGAAGAAACACTTAAAGACAAATAAGCAATCAATCCAACAACCCCAATTTTCTCTTTATTATTTTCAAAAATTCTTAAAAGCATTATAGGTCGTTGCGCTTTCACACTTAATTACGAAGGGAAATTTTTGGGGAAATAAATATTTTGAGTTAGAAAAAAATTTTTAAAAATTTTTTTGAAGCTTCTTAAAGGTCCTACACGGTTCAGGAACTATATAAAAACAAAAATCTAACCACTCCCGGCCAGTAGGCATCGAACCCGAGACCCCTATAAATTGCAGGTCCGGGGTGTTAACCACTACACCAACAACAGATTAAATTAAATTAATAAATTAGCGAATAAAAAATACAAAAATACGGCTTCCCCATATTTTGCCAATAAGGCTAAAAAATGACATTTTGCCAATAAGGCTAAAAAATGACATTTTGCCAACAAGGCTAAAAATGACACTTTCCCAATAAGGCGAAATAACCACGTTTTGCCAACAAGGCTTCGTTGCAAAGGGTTTTAGCCTTATTGTTGAAATATGGAGACACGAAAAAATACAAAATTTCAGACAATTAATTATTAAATTAAATTGATTTTTTTAAACAAAGAAATTTTCAAAAAAAATTTTTTCAAAAGACAGTCTGGTTTGTACTCACAAATTATATAGTAAAAACGATGTTCAGTGAACATGAACGAATGAAAATAAAAAAAATTTTTTTTCTTTTAACGACTGGTACATATAAAAGCAATAAAACGCGTACACACAAACGTATAGAGAGGAAAGAGTAAATAAAAGAAGTAAATTTTA